TCTTCTAAAATTTTTAAGGAAACATGGACATTCTTCTTTGCCGTCAACAACAAGGACTTTGCTGAGAACTGTTAGAGAGGTAGAAACTGAGATGAAGTCGGAAATGGAATATTTTTATTTTGGCCTGGAGAAACAGTTACTTGTTAATTTGAAATTATATCCAGAAGAAATTCAAAAAGACTTGTTAGTAATTAATATTTCTTTTAATATTGATGGTCTTCCATTGTTTAAGAGCAACAGTACCTGTTTATGGCCAGTTCTTTGTTCCATTGATGTTAAGCCGGTAAAGGTTTTCCCAGTTGCTATAACCTTAGGGAAGACTAAGCCTTCAAATTTAGAATTTTTGAGAGACACGATCCAGGAGATTGATAGACTTGTAAAAAATGGTTTTGTTGTGAATGAACGTATTATTCGTGTTAATTTGAAATGTATCATTTGTGATGCTACTGCAAAAGCGTTTGTGAAAGGGATTAAATTATATTCTGGATATTATGGCTGTATGGACAAAACGGACGCAGCTTGTACGCGAATAGTGTAAAAATAATGGTATATCAATCTGGGCCTAAAGAAAGACCTGCAATAGGCATATTTAGCTCTTGCATAATGCATGGTTAATGTAGTTTTTGTAGAGAAAATAATAAAGTATACTTATATTTCTAATCGAATCTGTGAAAAAACAGCACCATTCTCTTGTTAATACATAAACCCCGAACGGTACCTGGCACGGCACAGGTTATTTTTTTGTAGGGTGGGGTGGGAAATTTCTTGAGTGTCAACATCTTATGTATCACTATTTCATTCATATTATTTACACTAAATGAAAAAAAAATAAGATTTGAAGACTACATTTTTCTTCTTGGTGGCAAGCTTAATATTTTTATAGTTTGTCATTTGGTATAGTATTTGTTAAAATGGTTTAAGTATACATATAAATTGCATCAAATGAAATTAAAATGACTTAATTGAGATATGTTGAGTGTTTGTGCTTTTTTATAAGTCAACATGAAAATGTGGACGTATATTGTCGTCGCCCCTCCGTCCGCCCACATTTGTGGACACTCTACAGGTCTATGGTGGCCCATGGTTATCATGATAAATGTGTAAAAAATCCAACACAAATATTAAAAACTGTAAAAATAAATTTGAATGAAAATAAAAGTTCGCTAAAAAATAACAAAAAAGAAATCGAAAATAAAAACTAAATTAAATTAAATGAAATAAAAAAATAATTTAAATTAAATTAGATCTAAATTAAAATCGTTTTTGATAAAAACAAACTAAAATAAATGTAAATCAAAAACTGAAATGCAAAAAAAAATAAATTAAAAATATTTTTAGAAAAAGGTAAGTTTGAAAAATTAAATCGAAAAGTGAAATGAAAACTAAAATACGCATGTCTCTACGTGGCCCATCGTTATCATCAGCCCATCGTTATCATTCAAACAGAACTGTAATCGAACGCGCCTCTAATTTGTCAAGCAGGGGCGAATAACTCTAATCATGATATGGTGATATTTAACATCCAGCGAATCGGATGTATGTCTGTACTATATGGAGGGAACAAGAATGGACTGTCAATGAATATCATAAGTCTCCATCCATTTAACTTGATTACAGGCGTGCTTTCTATTAGTAAAAGGAACATGAACTATTAAAGTCAAGTCTTCAAGACTATGTATTGCAAAATTTATCGAGATCTGAAATCTTGTATTGATACATGAAACGCGACTTCGATCAGTACTGGAGCCTTCCAACTCTTAGCCGTCAGCTAGCCTACTTCGGTATAAAATATGTTGGACTAGGCCATGTTGTAACTGCCATTGAAGAAGAACTGACCGAGCGGAATCTCTCACGCGTATTCCAGCACCCGGATTCGAGATCAAGTTAGCCCACATATTCCTAGCGCCAAGAAAAACCTAGATATTATTATCCATACTGATCAGCAGTGAATTTTCGCTATGCCGCTACAACCACTGATAAGGAGGACATCGATGCGATTTAATGAGCCAGAAATATTAACTTTTTTCCTGCGACAAATTAATTCTAAAACATCTTTTTTATGTATTGGAAAAATTAATAAAGGCGTTTGACGTATTTGTAGGTAAAAATTACTTCCTATTTAGTGTAAATAGGTATTAAAATGACTAAAAAGCAGCATTCTCTCCGAAGCAGTAACGTCTTATGTAAACAATGCACGCGCCATTCAGCCAATGATTGACGCCGCGGCACGTGTTAAGGCAGTCATCTTTGACAGAGATATTACTACTAGACTCATAATTCTCTGTGAAACAGATTGATAATTATCACGAAAATAATTGTTACCTTTATATTAGAAAATAAAATTTTAAAACATATTAATGTAAAGTATATATGTAATAGATCCCCCGACCCTACCCCACAAAATATACTATTACCGTAAACATACTAAAATATCACACAATAGGCTAACTGAGCATGCAAAAAAGGGGTACGTCCATTTTGCATCAAAAAACACCCAAACCAGATTTGGTGGGAAAATGTTTTTTGTTTCACGAAATCAAGAGATGAATAAACTACTAGAATACAAACTTTCAGATGGCTCCTATGTTGGCGTTTCGAGATATATTACCGTAAACATACTAAACATATGGGGGAATCGGGTTGGCGTAGACTCACTGCGCACGCAATAACTTCTAAACTAGCTTTGGTGGCTTCAATATCTTTATTTCACCAAATCGACAGATGGATAAGGTATGAACATGCCAAATTTCATTACCTTTCTATGTGTGCTTTTTCATGCAAAATGGACGTAACCCTTTTTTGCATCCTCAGTCTAGCAGTGTGCGATATTGTTTTAGTACGTTTACGGTAATAGTATATTTTGGGGTGGGGTCGGGGGATCTATTACATATATACTTTGCATTAATATGTTTTAAAATTATACTTTCAAATATAAATGTAACGATTATTTTCGTGATAATTATATCTAGGTTTTTCTTGGCACTAGGAATGTGTGCTAACTTGATCTCGAATCCGGGTGCTAAAATACGGGTGAGAGATTCAGCTCGGTATTTCCCTTGGTGGTACCTTGCCGTTTGAGGAAGCAATGCCCATTTTTGCCGTCCTTTTGTTGTACATCTTCTTTTTGAGGCGCGCACAGATTTTATTCTCTCAATCTATTCCAATTCTATTCATATTTCATGATGGCAAAAGTTTTTGACTGACGTGACCGCGAAGAAAAGGGAAATAACTCTGGTTTCGGCGCGTTCGATTACAGTTCCGATTGAATGATAACGATGGGCTGATGATAACGATGGGCCACGTAGAGACATGCGTATTTTAGTTTTCATTTCACTTTTCGATTTAAAAACCCAAAAAAAATTTTAATTTTTTTTTCATTTAAGTTTTCAAACATAGTTTTTTTTAAAAAATATTTTTAATTTAATTTTTTTTTTCATTTCAGTTTTTGATTTACATTTATTTTACTTTGTTTTTATCAAAAACGATTTTGATTTAGATCTAATTTAATTTAATTTATTTTTTATTTCATTTAATTTAATTTAGTTTTATTTTCGATTTTTTTTTTGTTATTTTTTTAGCGAATTTTTATTTTCATTCAAATTTTTTTTTACAGTTTAATATTTGTGGTACATCTTTTTTACACATTCTCTATGATAACCATGGGCCACCATACTGGTCACAATTTTTATCCGATTTGGACGAAACGTGAAAATGTGGACGTATATTGTCGTCGCCCCTGCGTCCGTCCGTTCGTCCGCCCACATTTGTGGACACTCTAAAGGTCACAATTTGTATCCGATTTGGACGAAACTTGAAATAGGGCCTATAGGTTTATCTCTCTAAGATTATGTTTCTGATTGGCTTGTATTGGACCGTAACTTCATGGTTTATGGCCCTTGATTGTACAAAAAAAGTCGTGGTTTTAGCTCGTGGACACTGTAGAGGTCACAATTTGTATCCTTTTTAAATGAAACTTGAATATGTTTATAACCCAAAGATCTCGGTACATTTCGATATTCGTGCATACCAGATCGTAACTTCTTGGATTGTGGCCCCTGATGGTACAAAAAATCCTGCTTTTTAGCTTGTGGACCCTATAGAGGTCACAGTTTTATCCGATTTGAAAAAAACGGTATTATTATATGTCACTGTTACACCATAATGATTGTCGAGTTTGAATTTTGTAAAATTGAGATAAAAACTGCCGAACATAGTTATAATGGCTGCTCATTTTACGGATTGTGAGTGTTAAATTATCTTTTCTGAATACAATTTTAAAATTGTATTTTTGTACAGCTATTATAGGTATTCTAGACTGTGACAACAAAGTTATAGAAAATCGTAGCAATAATTAATAGTCGTTTTCAAATTCACCTGGTGTTACTAATTGTTCGAATCAATATGGGTAACAGAATGAAAAATAAAATGAATGCTACTAGAATGCAGACGTGTTTCTTTTACATAATGACATCAACATTTACAGTCAAACAAACCGTTAACTTTTCTGAATTAAGAAAGTGTAAAGCACAAACAAAAATGTATGACTGAGAAAGAAACTATTTTAAAACGTTAAAAAAACGTTTTTCATATTAAATCTAAAAACGTTGATAAAACGTTCAAATTAACGTGTCCAACAACGTTTTTAAAATGTTTATTTAATGTTTTGTCAAATGTTTTTTTAAAACGTAAATGTTTTTATTACGTTAAAAAAAACGTTTAGACAAAACGTTGTAGAAACGTTAAAACGAGTCTACAATTTGAGGTTTTTTAAACGTTGAAAATAAACGTTTTGGAAACGTAAGTGAAACGTTTTTAAAACGTTTAAAAAATGTTTAATTGTTTACTGGGCTTACCGTAAGAATAAGAGGTTAACATCACTCATGAAAATTATCTTGATTTAAATACGAAATGCATATAATCCTGTCAAAACTTGATAAAAACTTGATAAGCAAGACCCAGTTGAAAATTTAAAAAATCATGTACACGGATATTTTACTTACTTAAATCTGTACAAATTCAACTATAAAAGAGTCCCTAAACCTTGGTGTATATATTTTAGAACACAATTATTATATTCACTGCACTTTATCTATGGCCACACTTCATAACTATGACTAATATAAAACAAAACTAAGCTAGCCTATCTTTTTAGGTTATAAGTAGTATTTACTGTAATATTTCCGCATGCAAACGCGTATCTAGCACATACAGATATTGTGTATGAGTTGACCTTTATACCGATAATAAAAGAAACACATTCCAACGTCGGCCTACTGTTACAATCTTTAATCTTTAAGGTCCGTTCATACTACTTCCCCCTTATTACATCATGTCCCCAAATAGAAACTCAATCTCTGACAAGACAATAATTCAGCCTTGAAAGCTGGACGTTTTCGCGTTTTCTATTGAACGGCAAAACGCGGCGCGGATACGGATACGTTTATGGATACGGCTGTAGTATGAACCGAGCTTTAGGAAATACAATTATGTGTACTTTTTAAATTTAATTTTAAAAAGGTCAATATTGTTCAGGTCTGGTTATGTTAAGATTTATGTATATACATTATCCGCCGCAATATGAAACCTGTCATTGAGTCAACTGGCGTGGTTTCGATTCCCCTGTTGTACGTGACAAGGAGTAGGGTCGTCTAGCTGTCCAACCTCGTGGGTTTTCTCCGGCTCCTCCAGTTTCCTCCCACTGCTAAAGACCCCTACGCGCAAGCGAATTATTGAAATAAAATTAAACCATATGTAATATTTTAGTCCCGAAATGACCTCGTTTGTGTCGAGTGAACGTTAAACCCCATTTCTCTCTCTCTCTCCAATATGTACACTGAAAAAAAACTTGTGTTGGATCTCAACACAAGTACTTGTGTGAAAATTATTCTACACAAGTTATGTGTTGTTTTGCATTGCATTAACACAAACTTGTGTTCTTTTTAATGCATTAACACAAATCTTGTGTTTTTTCCATATAATTAACACAAGTAATGTGTACCGTCAAGAAATATTTTTTTTTTTTAAATTTGAACTCAATACAAATTCCTAATCCGGGGGTCCACAAGTAAGAGAAAGGTATTTTTTACTCAGACAATATAGCCAGACAGACTTGAATGCTAATTGGTGTTAAGATGTCTGTAGTTAAAATAAAGTTGGGCCCAATAAACTGGTAGATCAAAGGCCTGTTGAGCGCTCATGCCCGGTGTGATTTTAACAATTGACTCCAAATGCGTTGACAAGAAAATAAGTAAAACTGTTATTGAATGTGATTGGTTGATAAAATCAACGTACTATAGGCTACATTTTGTCTGTGATATCATCTCGGTGGAAGCAGACATTAAATGAAGTGATTTCACACAATTAATTTAACATTTAACAACGTGCTGAAATGATTTTGGAGCAGTGATATGTTTGACAAATGTAAGCTAATGGTCACATAGAATACAAGACCGCAGGTTTGTGAATATTTATATAAAAAAAATAATACCATGTATGTAATTTAGGATCGATATTGTTTCTCTGTATAATATTAGTATTTCGTTTCCTTAAAAAAAACTCCAACAATTTAAACCGGAAGTTCATGTTTATAATATGGCGCGGTCAGGAAAAAAATTTCGGCATGTTATTATCAAATCTGTTCAATTTTTCTGAAATCATGCTTAATTAACATTAGTTGTTCGGCGCTACGATGTTGTTCAAATACTTACATTACAGAATCACATTATGATTAAAGCAGAAACGGCTCGACTTGAACCAGCAGGTAAGAATCTGTTTTGAAATTACATCTTGGGAGGTTGGATTGGCGTTGGAGACCCGATTGGCGGCCATTTTGATTCTTGTTTCATGATTTTTTTATATTATAACGATTTTGCCAAGAGTAGACATAAACGCGGGCACAGACTAGAAAAAAATCTTTTTACACTTTTGTGTTAGTTGAATTGTAATCTAATTTATGTTTAAAAAAACAACCTTAAATCTAATAAGCAGACGGAAGATATGGACGAATAACAAGAATAAGTTATGGAGGTCCCAACAACTGAACCTATGGAAGTATATAGAAGAATCGTTTACAGCCGAAACCCGATACGATGTGCCAGTTCCGGTCATGGAGTCCTCCATCTCAGACGATGCCGACGTTAGTGTCTTCTGCGACGAAGAACCCGTAGTGGTTTATGCGCAGGTAGAAGCTGGTACCTCCCGTGGCAAGTCCAAGTTGTTTGACAACCAAGGGTTTAGTTATACAATTAAGGTAGGGTGATTTATTTTACCTAGTTAACTACCTTGTATAGAAATCTATTTCAGCTACAAAATGTAAAGATAATTAACTCTAGTTAACCTAGTTAACTCTATAATAATAAATGAATTTAATATATTTTAGACAGAGAAGAAAACTACGATTTGGAGGTGTTCCAAAAGAAGCGGACCAACACGATGTCCGGCAACAGTAATCCAAGATGGTGATACATACCGACCAGGCTTAAAGAACCATCTTCACCCAGCAGAACCCGGTATACACACGGCTACCAAGATAAAAGTTACAGTAGGTTTAAAAATTATATATCAATTAAATTAAAAATTTATATATGTGTGTAAATAAATAAAATATAAATAAACCAATAATATATTTGTAGTTTAATATGTTTTATCTTATCATTACAGGCAAAGCATGAAGCCAAAGGAAATGTTTTTACCAAGTCATGTTCCTCAATAGCGGAGAGAGTTTAATCCAGTGTCGGTTCTGCAGAAGAACCCATTCATAGCAGACCACCCATGGCAGCACTTGTAAGGTCGCTACAAAGAACCCGACAGACTCTGCGACCAAAAGATCCCACTGACGTGTCGTCAAGCGTAAGTACTCACGCAATTAAATACCCATGTATATAAGAATTTATTAACATGTAATTAAATGTACAATTTTATTTATTTATTAACATGTAATTAAATGTACTTTTTTATTTATTTTTTGTTTTAGCTTGACGAAGATTTCATCGATCATAGTGCACCGGGATTTTATCAAAAAAGAGTAAAAGTTGGGGAAAGGCGCCATCACATTTTTTGTACTGATAGACAGATGCAACTACTCGCACGCGCAAAAACTTGGTATATGGATGCAACCTTTTGGGTGGTGAACAAGCCATGGTCTCAGCTGTTTTCCATCCACGCCTTCATTAAGACTGGAGAGACCACCCGCAGTTACCATTGGTGTTTTGTGTAATGTCGGGTAAAAGCCAAGACGACTATTATAAGGTAAATAGCACTTACTGATTGAATTACTATTAATAGTAAAAAAGGACTATTATTTGGGACCTTGAAATTGTCACAAATGGGTCGCACTAACAGCGACATTTGTTTCAGGCATACTTGTTTCATCGGTGACACGTCTGGTGTCATGTGAATGCAACGACAACAGCCTGGTTGATTGATTTGTTGATTGGAGTTCAGATGTCTACATTAAAATCGACCACTTTCAGGTTGCCGTATTCACGGCCAGGCAAGACCGACTTGAAATTTCTAGAAATTTTTCTGGGGGAGACAGGCCCCAACAAATCCCCCGATGGTGCGTTTCACGACTTTGGCGCAAGACGGTGACCTTGAAGAGACGTCGAAAACCATTTAATAGACATAGTAAAAGTCATATCTTACGAGATTATCGCTGGTCTTGTCAGAAAATGCTATTTTATATATGACCAGTTTGTGTTTGAAAAATTTAAAAAGAAATTATTTATTCTCCCACCATTAAAGCACACTAATTACGAAATATCGCTCTCAGAAACTTCATGGTTTCTTTTGCAATTTGTTTGGGGTAAGACGTTATATAAATAATATCAATCTGTCTACCACACAAATTTAACAGATACAAATGCATGTTATTCCACAGGTAGACAGACAGGGCCTCCTTTGAAGGGAGTCAGTAAAGGGGACGCGGTTGGTTTAGAGTTTGTCTGACCCCTTTGAATATTTGCGTCTCATCTCCAATGAAAACAATCATGTTGCTCTCATGCTGTTCTCAACCAGAATCAAACATATATCGTACCCGAGATTTGTTAGCATGTTCCACACAACCCAACATTTATCGGCACCGGGATTAAGGGTGTATATCTTTGTTTCTAACGCTTATTGGGAATACGCCACGGAAACTACAATAAAAACTTATTTACAAAAACATTCTAAAGAGTGAAAACTGACATATTTCAAGCTTTACTGTATTTAAAGAAATAATTTAAATCAGCCGGCTGAAACCCCGTCTCCGCTATTTGTTCAGTCATTCTTTAGTCTGAAAAGGCTAATGTGACATAGAACAAGGTGACATTGATGTTGACAAATACGTAAGACGATATGAACATCAACTAAAAAGATATGTAATGTGATTCAGCTGCAAGGTGATATATGCATACATGCAGCATAGATAATTAAAACTTCTATTCAAGTTAAACCAACTGTATCTATTTATTTAAGTCTTACGTCGAGCTGAATACATTTTATGATTTATTGTCATCTATTGGTGGTTAACAGTGTGTAACTAAAAAATAAAATTGGATCTTATTATTGCCAATGATATAATGTACATGTAATAGCAAGTGTATATATATTTTTTGTTCAGTCTGTACACAGTTACATATCTGAGAACCATATTATTATCATTTCTGCCCAAGGCTCCCTGTGCCTTATAGTTAGCAGTGATACAAGGCAATTACCAATTTTCCATGTTCTTGGCCTGAAGAAATAAAATAATAAAAGTCAAGTTTTTATTATTATGCAAGTGGAAAAATACAATTATTCATAGTATGATTTGAATAAATACAACTGATTTGAAGTTGGAATTATTATTTGTCTAAGATGACTGGGCATTTACAAATTGAAATAGCTACTCTTCATCAAGAAAATACATGAATATTTTTCCCAATTCACCTGGATTTTATTGTAGGTCTTTGATATAATATTAAATTAGCTTACCTCAAATACCTCGAAATATACTGTTTGGTCAGTTTGTCCGCCCGCCATATTTCTATTAGTCACACATCCTTCGGCCAATTAAAATGGACGTATATTTTGTTTTAACCGAAACGAAAAATTTGCGTTATAAATAGTAAACGAGCTTGATTGACCGACCACTGCTAATGTTTTTTCGTGAAACGGTATAACTGCAATCAACACACGGCCGCCATTCTCGATGATTGACAACTCACGTTTTTCCTCATCCACCAAAGAACCGTTAGGTTTCTTTGAACATACTGTAATAACATTGGGATTATCAGCTTTCATTATCCCGCTTTGTTCGTTGCCATTTCTTATATTTGGTTACATCTCACTGTGCCCACTTTTGATTAATCCAATTAAGGTCTAATTAGGATTAGTGTATTAAGTGCCTTGTACGCACTAATTTATCAATTGGTATTGCCATCTACGACAAGCATGTCAACGTGCAACTCGCGGATTATCGTTAACAATTTCTAGGGGCTTGTAAAAAAAGATTGCATGTTGTGTAAATATTTATTTTGTTTTTTGTGTAGGTCATTTTCAAATAAATTCATCAGCATATTATTCGTTTTAAATAAATATAAAACTTTTATGAGAAACGATGATTATCAAAGAACCGTAAGTGCAACTAATGTTTTATCGTTTGGCGGAGCCTTTTACTAACCACGTGTTTCATGTTAATAAATATTTTCTTTCGTGTTTTGAATTGGCCTATTTCTAATAAATTATCCCGAGTCCCAAACGACGTATACCAAAGTCCCAAACGTCGTATACCCGAGTCCCAAATGTCTTGGTCATATTTTTTTGAGTCCCAAATGACATGTAATCCGTTGTTCAAGTTGGAAAGGGCTATTGATATTGTGGAGACGTTTTCTCACAGATCTTGCTTATCAGACAAAGACTATGTAAGTACCATGCATATTTGCTTTTTAAATCAGGAACTGGTTCTATACACTTGGTGGGGGGGGGGGTGGATGGACGTTAAACCCCATTTCTCTCTCTCTCCTAAATATTGAGATTTTTGTTTACTTTTAAACTGCATATATTCAAGGTATCAGGAGCTTTTTATGGCTCCCGTACAATTTTATAAACATGAAGGACTGTACCTTTTGAATATTAAGCCATCAAATTATTTTATAATTTTGAAAATGAAATGAAATGGGGTTTAACATCCTACTGTTTTGCTCATAAATTGGGCTAATGAAGACGGGCATACGCCATACAGTGTGCCAAGGAATGTTTTACGTGCACGCCAATGTGTACACGGGACCTCGGTTTTTCTTCCCATCCGAACATATATATTTGTATTTTTAATCAGGAAGTACTTCTATACACTTGCTTGGTAATCTAGTTATTCTTCTTGGGGCAATGCCTAGGACTCTGCTGTTTCAAGTACTTGGCATGCTTGATTTTTGCCAATCACATCCATTGATTTCCTTCAAGTTGCGATAGGCCCTACATGTATGTGTATTTTTTACAGTAAATAGCAGTAAAATAATGATGGACAATATTTTACTTTCAAATAGATTTCAATAGATTTTAAAGGGTAATATCCAATTTGTTGTCAAATAAAATAAGAATGGGTCCAAAAATAATTAGACATTGCCAAGTAAATAGGTGCTGCCATGATGTAGTAGGGAATCTGGATTTGCAGACAATACATGTATGAAAGGGTGAATAGTTGACCTATTATGAGACTTCAGTCCCAAATCTCAAGACTTCTAACTCATTTGATTTGAGCATAATAATCTGCCTGGGTCTGTAACTGGACAAGACACAATAAGCGTTACGCAAAGTTGAAACCAAATAGAGACTCGGTCTCGATGTGGCAAAATAAATTGTTTATTTAAACGTTGTGAACCATAGAAAGTATTCTTATTGCCTACTTTTTATTTTTTAGGTTGGAACACCATTGAAAGAGTATTTGCTGTATGATAACAACAAGAAAACCCAAGCATCAATTTATTTTATACTTCTGGGAAAGAATGCATTTGACCCAATTTTTAAATATTTATTTTTTGTTATTAATGTTAAATTTTCTTCCAAAACACAATTAGATTTTAATTCTCTTCAGAAATGTATGTATAATATAGCAAGTAAAGTGACATATAAATCACTTAGAATTTGGTCAGAAATCATAAAGTATTTAATAGGCATTACTAGAAACCAAATGTAGATCAAATACACCCAGAATTACAAAAAACCTTGACCTACATAAAGGTGACTTTCCCTAGCTTATGAAATGAAATACGGTTTAGTATCCTACTTTTCTGTGTTCTTAGAGTGATTCTGCCCTACACCCTACTCTTATATCAAATATTTCAACTGTCAAGGGTTCTTTCACGGGAACCCGGGGGGGGGGGGGGTCAATGATTAACACGCACACATTTGATCAGGAAGTCTGTCATTGAGTCAAATAATTCAATTGTCAAGGGTTCTTCTCAGTGAACGCAGTGGGGATGGTTTCGATTCCGGGAATGGGGGAGGGGGTGGTGGATGGCCGAATGGTAAGCACGTGCGTGCGGTATCATACGGCCTGTCATTGAGTCAACTGGCGTGGTTTCGAATCTCCGGTTGTACGTGACAAGGAGTAGGGTCGCCTGTCCAATCTTGTGGGTTTTCTCCGGGACCTCCGGTTTCCTCCCACTGCTAAAGACCCCTATGCGCAACGAATTATTGAAATAAAATTAAACCATATGTTAATCCCGAAATGACCTAGTTTGTGTCAAGTGGACGTTAAACCCCATTTCTCTCTCTCTCTCTTTCGATTCCGGGCTTGTACCCAATTATCCCTTGCCATATCCAGCACTACTGACAAGTGGGAACTATGCCGGAAAATCCAGTTGAAATTTCTCGACCAACACCTTATACTCACTGAACCACTGTCGCTTATGACTTGTGATTGTATATAAATTTTTTGTACATATGATATTTTTTTATTTCAATCCTGTAATCTTGATGCTTTGCTTCTTTTATTTACAAAATATTCATTTTGTTTGGGGTTTTTTTAATGAAGAAAAGGTTTTACATCATTTTATTACTCCTGCAAAATAGTGCATTTTTCTTTTGTTAGTTTTCTGTGTATATTAGTTATTTCTATATGTCTCACAAATCACTTGTAGTGTGATTTTGTAGCACTTTTCAGTTTTTGAAATTGTTTCAATTTAGTGCATAATTAACCTTAGTGCTTGGTTTGGATGTTATTAAATTTAGATATTATTTGAATTATATATTTTGGAGTATGGGGTAGGGATACTGTGTACATATCTTTATATTCTCAGTTCTTGTTTTGGGGTAAAGAACAATTTATATAGCTATTTTATATTTTGTGATAGGTAAAGTGTGTGGGGTTAAGAACAATTTAAATAGCTATGTTATATTTTGTGATGGGTAAAGTGGGGTGTGTGTGTGTGTGTGTGTGGGGGGGGGTCATTATATATAACACAATATAATTAGTATTAGAATTCTCTGTTTTTCTGTTAACATTTCAAATATCTATTTAGTTTTGATGTATTAATTTACTTTTTCCTATGATTTTATGAATAAATAATAATCTTACAAAAACAAAGGTCTAACAGAGCAAAGAGATGGGTCCTGCATAAAAAGGTTGCTATACTGTATATAAATTGGGGAAAAAAACAACACAAGTTTTTGTGGATGGTTATACACAAGTTTGTATGAAACCACACAAGTTTGTATGAAACCACACAAGTTTCGGAAATTTCAACACAAGTTTCAGAAATTTTAACACAAGTTTCAGAAATTTCAACACAAGTTTCAAAAATTTCAACACAAGTTTCAAAAATTTCAACACAAGTATTGTGTAGATTTTCACACAAGTTTCAACACAAGTTTGTGTTGTTTGATAACTTTTAACACAAGTTTTGTGTTGTTTCAACATTTAACACAAGTTCTGTGTTGTTTCAACACAAGTTTGTGTTGTTAAATAGAGACACCTGACTTGTGTTGAAAACAACACAAGTTTGTGTTGTTTCAACCCCAGTTTTTTTTTCAGTGTAACTGTATTTATTGGGTGTTTGGATGATGCGTTATTTATTCAAGGTGTTCTGTTACTGTTAAAATGTGACAGTGATATCAAACAATTCGCCCCAATAAATTTAGTGTATTTAATAGATTTTGGGGAGGGTCGGGGCCTATTTTAAGGTGCCCTGGGGCACTTCCGTGCTCTAATGAGAGAAAACCGTGCTCTAGGGAAATAAAAAGAAACGCTTTGAAAAAGTTTCAATTCGGGCAAAAATTAGTCTTCAGTTGTACCAGTCATCGGAATGAACTAATATATAGGTATGGGCCGTACAGTCTAGTTTGTCATTGTCTGTGTATTGGCAGTGCCCTCGTCAAGTTCCCGGAGATGTATGCCAAATTGATGCTAGAGCCAATATACTTTTCAAAAATGTCCAAAGCCTAGAGCTGCCTCGGCCCCCCTAGAATTAACGTTTCCTTTAATAGACTCCGGGGAGGGTGCGTGGGATGGGGATAAGTTGCCTTTAAAAGTTATTTCTGGATATCAAGGGGATATAGAATAATCCGCCCCAATAATTATAGTATATTTATTGGATATGAGGCACAATACTGGATCTTGGATATGAGGGTGGGTCCGTGGGATGGGTTTAAATTTCTCTTTAAATCTAGTTCCTGTTGAGATGTCAAGGTGATATCAAATATATGTATAGATCTGATACGTTGGCTGGGTGTTGTACCTGGTAGGGAATGATACGTTGAGTGGGTGCAGTTGTCCGGTGGTAGGGAATGGTACGTTGACTGGGTGTTGTGCGCTGGTAGGGAATGTTACGTTGATTGGGTGTTGTGCCTTGTAGGGAATGATACGTTGACTGGGTGCAGTTATCCGATTGTAGGGAATGGTATGTTGACTGGGTGTTATACGCCGGTAGGGAATGTTTAATGTTTCAAATACACCTGATACTTCACTTTATCATATATCCAAATTGAAGTTGAGTCTTGGACCTTCAACTTGTGTTGTTAATGTTATAATGGGCCGCCAATTATGAATGTAATCACGTGAAGCTAGTCCGACACTCTCCCTTTCGAATGAAATAATGGACCGCCATCGTCCCTCGCGAATGTAATGGTGATTTGCCAACCTTTGTCTTGTTTTGCCGGACTAAGTAAGTTTCCTTAGTTCACATAAGCAAACGTCATAAACTTAGGCTGTCTGTCTACAGTTAACCCCGCTTGAGAACAGACATTAAGCTAGTTCACCGACATTATAAGTTCTAAATCGAATGTTTTAGTCGAAAACACTAAGTATACTTCGAGAATATTAAGAAGCATTTATTCTGCTTCCATTTAATGGAAGTAAAAAGGTTTATTTAGTCTTTGTATGTATGAAACCTGTAAAACGTTGTAGAACCGCATTACGAAATAGTATACTAATTTTTTGATATGGTGGCCATTCAGGGCAGAGACTTATCATCGAAGTATGAAGCAAATGGATCACGGTGTGCAGAATGAAGCAAATAACTCCCTTAATTTATAAGAAAAATCGGCTATTGTTACATGAAACATAGCCGTAATCCTATTCATATTGATATAGTAGAAGGATCGTCTGTTTACTCAAGGTTGTAAATCATTATTCAAGTGATCGTAGGGGTATCTAACTATCTTGTTCTGTATATCTGTCATAAATGATATGGGGTTTGACGACCTATTGTTCAGCTCTATCAGGCTAAGACGGGAGTGTATTAAATGAAATAAAAAGGAATGAAGTTTCAGTTCGTTTTTTTTTTAAATTTCTTCTCCGCGAAAATCGTTCCCGCCTTTTATTCATCAAATTCCAACAGTCATGGTTTCTATTATCTCGGTTTTACGTCCCATCCGAACGACTGCACACTTTTCCTTGCCTGGTATCACTGACAGGGGAAACCAGGTTGGAAAATCCAGGGGAATTCTCTTGGTCAACACCAGTGTCAGGGCCTTCCGGATAGTTAGCAAGCACCATTCTTACTAGTTTCTCTTTAGGGACGGCTTCTGATCGAACCCTGTCCTCTCAGAAGCCTTTCCTAAAGGAACTACATTCTTACCAAGACATTATGACTCCCCTAGGGCATATGGGCATATACCATGCTTACAATGTTAGGATATCGAGGGATCAAATGTGGGCTTATTGCATTCGAACACCAATAGCCTGTGCAGCAAGTTCAATACATTTAATCTATGTGCGCTTGTGTGTGCTTTGTGAAAAGGGGTCCTGGTACAACTTTGCACACGTTTAATATATGGGGCAGGGCCGATTTACCCAATACTACCCAAAACTCACTCGGTTGGATCTACCGGTACTGGTACTATAAAATTTTTTTACATTTTACCGTAGCCTCCACTCTTTGCTCATTGCACGAATTAACGATAATGGATTTAGTCTGTCCTTTTTTTAAAACAATAATAAGGTAGTAAAGATAATATCGGGTAAATCGTCTTGCCGCCATATTTGTATGAAGTACCAATTATCCGAGCGCTTTGTTGAGGCATTATATGCAGGACAAATTAACAAAAAATGGTATTCATCTTCCAACGTCTTCAGTGTACAATATTTACATAATCTCTCTTTCCTGGGTGTATTTAAATATCTGCTAGTTTCTATACAGAGCGAATGCGACGAGCATCTAAATTTACTGAAGGCTACTCTAAACTTCAGTTTGAGGTCATCAATGCATAGATAAAATTTAAATAGAGGTAAATCTGTGAACGAATTATATGTGCTTAACTTAGATGAAGCAAAACGTGAAGAATTCCATTCTTGGATAGATTGATCAAACAGTTTAGCTTTTAAAACCTTAAAATAAGGAAGATTAGAATCTTGATTCGTCCAGTAAAAGAACAGCCAAGATTATCCAGTAAACTTTTAACATTGAACACCCATGTTTTATTACTGTATTTCCTGTCCAAATCCGAAACCCGTGAGTGATTGTAAACAATATATTTTAAACTACTCTTATCTGATAAAACATTTATCCAATATTTTAATATACAATTTAGTCAGGAGTAATATTGAGTTGTTCTTCCAAGCTCTCCATACACCGAAGCACTATGCGTAGAGGATTTTAAAAGTAATGTCCGTTTACAGAACTGTAGGTGTAGTTTTTCAATGTCTGGAGAACTATGGAAGCCCCAACTCGCACAAGCATAATTAAGAATTGATCCTATATCAGAGTCAAATAGATAAAATTGCTGTTTTACATCAAGATTTACTTTGTTAAGAACATTATATAATTGATACAGGGCTTTAGATGCAATAGATTTCTGACATTTGTTAAAATTACCATTGTACTGAGATTGTCCAAATTGCACAGAGCGATTGTCAAAACAGTGTACAGGGGACAATAAGATTAAAGGGAGACAATTCCACTGTACATGTGGGCTGAGACAAGTATATTTTTATTTTTAAAATACCTTAATGCATGCAGGCCAGAACTTGGATTTTCGATACTCGGGTAGGTTTATGATTAATTTCAGTGTGATATAATATAAAAATAAATGTATTTATGTTCGTGGTAAGAACAACAATGCCTATGGCAGATACATTTATTTTCTTGTTAAGAGTAACAATGTCCAATAGACCATTGTTAACAAGTTTTACCATGGGCAGTGATGGATTAACCATTAAACAAAATAGGCACGTGGTAAGTTGCATCATGGGAATGAGGGCACAGCAGAATGTCTGCTTTGTTACATTCAAAAACTAATTAAGACCACGTGCTTGACTGGTTGTTTACGCTTTAATACTGTTTATGGTTTAAAGTATATAGGCTAAATATTGGGGCAACAAAATCGTTTAAGTTCGTAGGGCCACTGTGTGTCTTAACCCGGCCCTGACGATGGAGTATGTTTAAAATACTTGAATCTAATTCTCTTCAGAACACCCACATTCATTTGTATGTTTCATATCGAAAAATGCTTTAGCTGCATTAGATCCTCTCTGAAATAGATACAATACATACTAGTGATCTATCATAGAATAAACTAGTCTTGCAGAACAATTGACTATGATTTAGTAATGTAGGCCTAATTGACTATAAAAACCAATTAACTATACATAGAGTGAACTATATAGGATAAAATAGTCTCGTGGAACAATTAACTGTGATTAAGTAATGTAGGCCTAATCAATTATAAAAAAAACCAATCCATGTCAATCTTGTCAAATGTAGCTTCATATACAAGATAAAATACGATAAAATGGATGTTCCTTAATATATTCCGGATAAAACGGGGTGCTACGAATATATGCTAGAGATATATTAAAATCCATGTCATTCTTGTCATATGTAGCTTCAACTATGGGATAAAATCGATGTTTCATTCTATAATCCAGATAAAACGGGGTGTTACGAATATATGCTGGGTCTATATTCAAATAAGTTTTTGCAACCATTATGACAGTAAAGGATCCGGGTAATATTAAACGTGAAATACTTTACCTGCTCCAGAAATTCTTTATCTGCATCTTCAAGTTCAAAATCTAACGTACCAACATAGCTTGTATTTATAGCTATTGTTCTATCAATATCCCTTGGCTAAAATACAAAACACATTATACAAACAATTAAACCATCTGATGTAATGAATACAATGTAGACCCCAACTTCTAATTTTACCAGAATTTGTAAAATTATCATGTTATGCAGTACCATAGGAACAAAAGTCAAAACGTCTTAACTTTCCTAACACAAATGAAGCAAAACAGGCATACAATAGAATTCTATACACACATATTCTTGGCTATAACGATAGGAATGTGAGTAATTTTGACTTTGCAAGTATCGTAACAACAGAAATGTGTCTGTGGTCGTATTTGATTGTCACGAATTCAGATATTGATTCTCTTTCTAAGTTCTCTTTCCAGATTCATTTTCTAGATTCATTTTCAAGATTATCTTCCTAGCTTCATTTTCAAGATTATCTTTTCAGATTTACTTTCTAGATTCGTCACAAACAATCAGTTTTACGAATCAGGATTTGATTTAAGACATGCGCTGTTGGTAACTTGCAAATAACCACCATTTTGAATCCGAGAATTCAACGCACCCCGGCGGATTCACCGGTTTGTGTATTTGGATTCGGATTTGATGTAAGCCTATGCCAATATGTATTGATGTGTCGATGCCAATAGCGGGTTCAGGTGGGTGACCAAGGCCTCGGCCTCCCCAACTTGCACAAGGACCCTTTTCAATCATGAACGAAGCATTTGCTAAACTAATTCCAGGAAAAGGTCAAACTAGTGAGATTTTGTTTGGTAAGAGAGAGAATAGTTCGAACAAGATTTAGCCTCGTGTATCACACATAGTCAAAAGTAAATTAAAGTTCACATAACTGATCATTACTTACGTCAATGCCCCCCCCCCCTCACCCATAAAGCCGTAACCAAAGTCCAGATTAGCGTTGCTGCTAGTTGACTGTGCGTGTGCTTTCTGGGTGTCAATTCGCATGGTATGTTCACAAAGCTGTTACCAAGTAAAACACCTACCTGTAGATTTATCATTTGAGAATTTTGTACAAGGGCTCCGATCAATGACGAAACGAATGTTTTCAGATCGGTGATATTTTTTCTGTCGAATCCCATGTATTTCTGGCTTGAATATACCCCTTTCCATTCAATAAAACCTAACAGTTCTCTAAACTGAACCTGTGGCATGGAAAAAAAGGAAATATATGAAAATCTCTGTCATTTACCCATTTGAAAAGTGTTATTTTAGTTACTATATTCTATACGAGGGAAATATTGTTGGTATCTTAAAATATTAGAAACGTTTGTCTTCCATAAAAGTTTCCTGGTTCATCTTAAATTATTGACGGGAACCCCACTGTCTCTCTTTTTTTCAATTTTCAAGTGGACCTCTGTTTGCGTCCAGTCCGAAAGACCAGGCGCCTTTTCTTATTACTGATCTCTTCGTCCTCGCCCACTTATAACAATAGTTAATTAAGATGGGACTGGGAATTCCCGAGAAGTTTGATTGACCAGCCCCTTGGTCACTGAGTCACCTTGGTTCCCTAATGTATACTAGAAATAAAGTATGTATTTACCGTTCCATCATTGTTCTGGTCAAGCTTGCTGAAAAACTCTTCAAACGTCAGACCTTCAAACAGAGCATCTCTTTGTTCTTGTGTAAAACGTTTCTTTTATTGATATTCAATGAAAACAAAAGATTAAAAATGAACAAAATATCGCTGTTTGTATCATATATTTCTAGGTTAAAATTAGGAGTGGTTCCAATCAATTATGGATAAATGGCGCTCGGTGAATTTACCTGACCAAACAGTCCACTACATGACCACAAAATCCTTTTCCTAAACTACTGAGATGAAAGGAAAATCTATGATATAAAATCGGCACTTCAAGAATATTTTAAATTCTAAAACAATTGTGCATTTTTAAAGTTACAAAATTAAATGAAATGTAGTTTAAACGCCCTACTGTTCTACAGAAGGATTGGGCTAATGAAGACGGGCGTACACAAGGAGCTATGCCGAATGTCTCAGACAGCGGCGCTACGACCTACTCTTATTTCGATTACAGATGTCGATGGTTCTTTTACGTAAACACCAATGTGTACACGGGGCATCCAAACGGGACTGGACAGATCCTGTGTCTTGCACCACTGACAAGGAGAAACAACACTTACTAAGCCACCGCGGCTCCTACACGTAGATTGTGTCAAATAGCTGACAAAACGATACCGGGAGCGAATTCGAGACACACCCCCCCCCGGTTATCGATCCAGCGTCTTCCTTACTAAGCCACCGCGGCTCCTACAACATACACGTAGATTGTGTCAAATAGCTGACAAACCACTCACATCTTCAAATATAATTTTCACCGCCTCTTTGCTCAACGTAGATTCTGACAGATGTTCTTGGCATACCTAAATAAAATAAAACTCTATAATAACTGCACATAATGATTGTTAGTCTGAAGTTGGAGACTCGATTACCCCACTTTGGCTTTTGAAACTTTGTGAACCATCTCCCCAAAACGTTAAATCAGACCTTATCAATATCATGCTTATGTCACTGTATTGTGTGTGTTTGTATCAAAATCCGGTCCACGTCACTACACTGTGTGTGTGTATTCGTATCAAAATCATACCCGTGTGATTAAAGCAACTACAAGTTCTTACTTTAAAAAATACTTCTACTGATGAACGGAGTTTATCATACTGTTCAATTTCTTCAGATTTATGACGACTTTTGTCCCTAAAAAATATAAATTACCTTGTCAGTAAATAATAATGGGCTGTGACGTTGTAATAATGAACTGTCGTAAATATTAATGAACCGCTGCCGATGTTAGTAGGTATATTAATAGAGACCAGCTTCCCCTGGAAGAGTAATAATGAACCCTCACCTTCCCAATAAAAGTAATAATGGACCTTCACCTTCCCAATAAAAGGAATAATGGACCTTCACCTTCCCAATAAAAGTAATAATGGACCTTCACCTTCCCAATAAAAGTAATAATGGTCCTTGGCCTTCCCAACAAAAGTAATAATGGACCTTCTTCTTCTCATATGCAAATACTAGGTCCGCCAACAATTAGTAATGAATTAAATTACAAGAAATGGCCTAACCAATTAGGTTGTTTTTTTGGGTTTTGTTTTTTTATTTCTTTCATTGGGGATCAGGGATCATATCACAGTTGTCTAAAACTGACCCCAGCCACTTCGAGAATCATTTACAATAAGAGACAGTCTCCCTACCTTTCGCAATATAATTTGGTACTATTTCCAGGTCTCTCTGGTTTTAAACACAACGCCCTTTTATTGAAGCAGTCCTTCATCCACTGATTGTCAGTCTCCGAATACTGAAAAATTGTGAAACATCTTCTGAATTATCAAAACTTTGTACCAAGTGCCTTATTCACGTAAACATAAAATAGTAGTACAAATTAAGCTGCATTCTAAAAATATTTTTTGTTCAGTTCAGACCACAGAATATAAGTCATGATTAGAGAGAGAGAGAGAAATGGGGTTTAACGTCCACTTGACACAAACTAGGTCATTTCGGGACTAACATATGGTTTTTAATTTTATTTCAATAATTTGCTTGCGCGTAGGGGTCTTTAGCAGTGGGAGGAAACCGGAGGACCCGGAGAAAACCCACGAGGTTGGACAGGCGACCCCACTCCTTGTCACGTACAACCGGGGATTCGAAACCACGCCAGTCGACTCAATGACAAAGCTTATGATACAACCAGAATCAAATGCAATATTTTGCCAATACTTACCTTGTTTTATGATACAGCGCGCTCACCCTAACCATTCAGCCATCCAACCCCCCAGTCATGATTAGACTTGGAACATCATCAAAATAGTAATTAGGAAACATTAAGGAAATACCCTAGCATGTCAGATAAATAAGTGTTCAGAATGACGACAATTATGTGACATGCCAAGTCAGACGACTGAAACGATTTTTCAGAATTAAACTGATAATCGCAAAAAGCTTGCTAATATCAACATATTTATTAATCCTAGTGCTACGAGGAAAATATTTTGCTCTACGGCCGGATACTTATCGAAACGTCGTGCTCTTACAATAAACTAAGTGATTTTTTCCCATAAAAACTTTGATATATTAATGTGTTTCCCGATCGCTAAATGCCACTCAAGGATTATAAGAAAAATAATGGATTTAACACTTTACATGTCAGAGGGTTTTTTATACTTACTAAAACAATTCCCAATGTCTTAGGATTAAATTCTTTAAATCGGTTATTTTGTTCATAATGTTTAGCAATATCACTTAAAGATTTTATTCTATTAAAGAAGCTATTCCCTTTAGCCATTGATAAAAACCAGCCTAAAACAAAATAAAAACAGTCAATTATATCAACACCCAAAAACAGTCAAATGTATTAACAAAGAAAACGGGCATATCAACAACCAAAATACAGTCAAATATATCAACAAAGAAAAACAGTCAAATATATCAACAAAGAAATACAGGCCTATATCAACAAATAAAAACATTCACATATATCAACAGCCAAATACATTAACAAAGAAAAAACAGTCAAATAAAGCAAGAAACAAATGGTGTAGATAATCTTAATTGACTAGCCCAATGGTATAAATCCGTATTCTGTTATATGATATTTGATTCTACAAAATATTTACCATCAAAACAATGAATTGGGTAATTACACAGCATCCCTCCATCTACAAACAAATCTTCTTCTCCGTCTGCTTCTAATTTGGATTTTATTGCCCTAAAATATCCTGAAATGCACGCATTTTACAATAATAGCCATCATGATACAAGTTTCAGTCAATGTTTCATGCCACCAGCAAATGTTTCATGCTATCAACAAATGCTTCATGCTATCAGCAAATGCTTCATGCTATTAGCAAATGCTTCATGCTATCAGCAAATGCTTCATGCTATCAGCAAATGCTTCATGCAAATCTATTCTATCAGCAAGTCTATGCTATCAGCAAATGTTTCATGCCCTCAACAAATGCTTCATGCTATCTGCTTTATATCATCATCCAAGTTTGAATGCCACCGGCCTTTGGTTCATGCCATAGGACACTATTCCATTGCATCAGCCAATTCAACATGCAATCTGCTAATTCTTTTTTATGCCATCAGCCAATGTTTTGTATCTTCATTAGCTAATTTTTCATGCCGTATACTTGGATTGGCTTAAAATTTAACTTACCTGGTATAGATATAGACATGCGCACAGCTTCTCTAATTGGTGTATCCGGTGTTGTCTTCGCGTGGAAATATTCTGTTTTTAATCTGTTGACATTAGTTACAATAACACAGAGTTCCTTATCACGACTAGTATACAACTGAAATCAACAAATTACAATCTTAATCATGATCATTTGCGAAAACAAAACTTTTATGGTTTTGGATACAAATGTGTATCTAGATTCGTGCCTCCCAGGACGGTCTTTCCGTTTGAAATAACATTACGTTTAGGCCACGTCAAGCTGGCATGTTATGGCAAACTGTTATTCCTTCGTTCATTGGTCGAGGTTAACGTCGGCTTCCACCGAAGGTGATATTGCAAACAAATGAACCTTGCAGGAAGAACATGTCGGGATTGAGAAGCAAGTCCAGCGTAGGGCAGGAATAGGGATGCGATAAGGCTAATTCGCCGTCCCCTTCTTCGTAATGTCCGTCTTCATTAGCCCAGCATAGGAGCAGAACAGTAGGACATTAAACCCCATTTCATTTCATTTCATTTCATTTGTAATTAAAGGTGTAGTCGTGTCTTTTGGGATACGTTGTTTTGTGGAACCTTTCAGTACCACATGCCCAAACGGCGTTGCACACATGAGAAAGTAATAAAGAAAGTAACGTAATCAGGACCGCTGGCGCTGGGATGGTGGTTTCAAGCAGGTGCTGACGGAACCTCGCTGCCACCCTCGTTCCAATCTTAAAAGGGTTGATATACAATACTGCAAGGTTGTGTTCTGACCGACCATAGCACGGCAAAGTCCAACTACTTTTTTCACTAGAAAAAGCACACTGTGATAAAGACGTCTACCAAGAACTAAATAGATGTGGATAATTTCGCTGATCAGTACACTCGAGCGGCACCTCATCTGGCCTAGCATGGCCCTCTTACGAAACCCAAGGCACCACGCGGCGTTACGATGTCCTTTTCCTATTAGGTGTCGCATATGTTTTCTCTGCATTATTTTGATGAGCTTCGTTTTAATCTACTTGAATCCAACTAGCGGGAGATTATTCACCGTTGATATTTTGATAATTTATTTGGCGTGGATTAAGACGTGGAACATTTTATATTTTCTGAGAAATGCAAATGCCACACAGATACTTTAACAAACAAACTACGAAATGATTAACAATCATATAACTATAAGCATTATTCTATTTACAACGACCAACCTGTTTAAACGTCAAATCAGCATTTCCTGTCTTCTGTTTTATATACTCCCCTAACGATTTCTTAATGGGATTGGTTGAATGGAAACCATACTGCTTAAATACTTCATAAAACGACAAACAAATCGAAAACAGAGTCCCTGTAAGTACAGATTATACAGATCAATTTCTCAAAATGAAAATATGATGCACATCATGTCGACCGTAGATGAAGAGTCAGGTTAAGACGAATGTGAAATGGTGCCACCGCCCCAGGATCCGGGCAAAAATAGGCGACATTTTAAAATGTTTTCTTTTAAAATGTTTTCTTAAGTCCAAGACCCAATAGCATTTATCCCAGCCGTTCAAATACTCTGACAATGGCAATATGATTTCGTGCTTCGTCTGTGTCTCGCCCATCAACCCCGTTTGTATTCCCATGCCATCTTTATAGTAGTAAATCGACCCGATGACTCTTGGTCCTTCTCTCCTTAGATGACAATACCGCATATGCTTATGTGTATGCTCTTGTTTCTACTAAAGCTGCTGTATTTTCTGTCGCTGCTGCTGATGATGATGAGGATGATAATGATGATCAAGACATAGTAGCATTAGTATTGATACTGTGCATGCTCTAGCTGCTTTCGAACCTGCTGCTGGTTACTGATGATACTGATGATGATTATGATGAGTAATAATAGTAGTCTCACCTGAGGTAAATGTTGACATTGAATTTGAATATAGTATATTAGAGACCTCATCTGGACTGTAACCAACAGATAGTAAGGATGCTACTAAAGCACCAATACTGGCCCCACCAAATCGCTTTATATGATGATTGCCATCTCCAGATAACAAACCCAGTTTCTGTAAATACTGTTAATATATATCATTTACGAGGAATGTAAATCTTCATTCAACTTCAACATATTAAATCTGGCATCAAATATGGGCTTTCGTTTTACCCAAATCAAAGAAGGCATTGAAATGAAATGAAACGAAATGGGGTTTAACGTCCTGGTTTTCTGCACCAACCGGGTTAATGAAGACGGGCATACGCCATACAGTATATGAAATTACGGTCCGATACATGCCAATATCGAGGGAGGGAAATTTTGCCTGGACATCGGCGCAACGGCCTACATTTATACCGAATTCCTACTGTCAAGGGTTCTTTTGCGTGCATGCCAAAGTGTATATGGGACCTCGATTTTTTTGTGTTGATCATTCGGACGACAATACACCGTTCCTTATCATGCCATTCGTTCTGCGCCACTAAGATGGGAAAACTAGACAGGAAACACTTGTGGGCCTTTCTCGATCGACGACGTTATCGAAACTAGGATCTCCTGATTGGTATGCCAGTGCCTTACTCCTGAAACAACGTTGCTGTTGCTACCCAGGAAGTTAATAATAACAGACCTTTAAAGCACCACCCAGAGCAACTCCTTTAGCTCCTCCTCCCTCAAGCACCAAGTTTTCATACACCAGCGGATTCTTCGTAGACATCGTCGCTGATTCTATGAAAATATAAATGACGACCGAGGCTAGCCTAAACTTGAATCGCTAATAGCTTAGTTCAGAGTGAAGCAATTCGACTGAAATTTTCAGCATATTCCTTATCTCATTATCTTTTTTTGTTAACTATTAAAGTGAGAACTGCCAGCTCGTATTTAATCTTACCTAATGCTCCTTTAAACAACAAATTGCCTTCTTGCAAAGCCGATTGCTATGGTGGCTGATTGGTATCATGCGATGTTGGGGTGTCGCCCTTAAGGCAATAACCCGACACCACGAAAAGCCGACATCACGACATTATAACCCAACAATTCTACATTTTCACCCGACATATCGCGTAAAAGTGTCCTGGGGTCGGATTAAAATGTCGAAGGGCGACACCACGACATAACGACATGATACCAATCAGCCACCATAGTTGGTTGAATTACCTTCAATACTATAGGATTTCAAAGCAGAAATAGTCAGTAATAATAGTACACGTCATTATTGATTATAGGCATTCCCGGAGAATACCGTGTATTAAAAACGGGTGTAAGTTATCCTACAATGTAACGTTTTCTTGAAGGGAAAACCACGTTTGGGGTATGGGGAGCTTGATATCTCTGCCACCAGTGATCAATTCCTGGCTGATCACGAGCCACCGGTAAACGGAACTTCGGAAGGGTGTGTAAGGACCAGCTAAAAAGTGGTCAGTAACGGTGTTTTGCTAAAATTATAATAAGCTTCACCGTAGGAATAAAACAGACTCGTTTAGTTTTCAAACCTTTATGTAACAAAAACTTTCAAAATATATTTATATCAGTATTTACAGCTTATATACGTTTATTTCTGTTAACTGTCCTTTTTCGGGTGAACAGTGTTCACCGTACTCTGTCAGGTTCTTTACTTTTTCGGGCGAATAGCATTCGCCGTACTAGTTCTTGAAACTGCCAATGTCTTCCCTTTTTCGGGTGAATAGCATCCGCCGTATTTTTCTTCAATCTGCAACTTGTCTTTTTCGGGCAATCCTAGATTGCCGTACTGGCTGAAACAGAAAGTAGCTTTAAAGGAGTTTCTGTGCCCTCGAAACGTAGCTTGTCAATATCAGCGAGTTCTTCGCTGACCTTCGACCACAGTCCCTGAGGCAAGCCTATCGAACAAATTCCAGCCATCTACACGTATCTATAAGAGACATTTATTCCTACTGGCGATTCACAAATATTGCATGAAGAAATTCAAATCATAAGAACATAAACACGACTAATAAACAGTATCATATTGATTATAAAAGTACAACGTATATATTGGTTACACTATATATGTCACAAAACACCAATCATTAGATAATAATAATTATTTACTAATTATATAAATCACTTTAGGAGGTAGGAGTTATCCGTTGTTTAATTTAACAGTTATATAGTACCCTGGTTATAAAGGTACGAACAATTAAGGCATTTAAACAAATGATTACGAAAGAACATAACACTATAGACTTCTATGATAAGACATATAATACATGTTTAATATATATATAAATGACAATGTTCTACGCTAACAAATAATGAAATATAATAGTATCAGTAAATATAAAAAACAAAGTAGTCGCGATCATCCTGGCTCTTGACTGCTTCACAATAACAATACTCATTTAGTTCAGCTAATCCATTACCTTATCCACTCGCAAAACACATGTAATCATAGAAATATCAAATCACCATATGTTAGTCTCAAAATCAGCTTAGTAGCTTATCAACTTATTAGTCACAGCTACATTATCAATATATATACCACATAACAATATGATGTTAAATTTACGTTACATTTACGTAAAAATGGTCAGTCAGTTTACCATCATTTTGCTCATCTTTTTAACGATAATTTTACGTCAGGAAATGATGTTAATCTAACGTAAAGTTTACGTCATTTTTACGTTACATTTACGTCATTTTCTGACGTAAATCTAACGTAAAGTTTACGTCATTTTCTGACGTAAATCTAACGTAAATTTTGCGTAAAGTTTACGTCACTTATGTTAGATTTACGCCAGAAAATGACGTAAACTTTACGTTAGATTTACGTCTGAAAATGACGTAAATATGACGTAAAAATGACGTAAACTCTACATTAGATTAACGTCATTTCCTGACGTTAAATTTTCGTTAAAAGAATGAGCAAAATGATGGAAATCTAACCGACCATTTTAACGTAAATCTAACATTAAATAAACATCATTTTCGGATGCAATTCTAATGTCAAATGAGCAATTAAAACCTTTAATATAATCTATTATTGGTGGTTGTAATTGTAAAATTCAGTCAACCAATAACCAAATCTTCTTTAACCATATGAGGTGCTAAAGACTCCTGGCGCAAACAATTATTGAACTGAAACTGAATCGTAGGCTCCATTTCTCTCTATCTATTTCGTCCTCGAGGTTTCGGTGGTCAAACGGTTAACGCATGTTCGTTGCATCATAAGTTCCGTCATTGAATTAAGAGAGAGAGAGAGAAATCGGGTTTAACGTCCACTCAACACAAAAAGGTCATTTCGGGACTAACACATGGTTCAATTTTTTATTTCAATAATTCGCTTGCGCATAGGGGTCTTTAGCAGTGGGAGTAAACCGGAGGACCCGGAGAAAACCCACGAGGTTGGACAGGCGACCCTACTCCTTGTCACATACAACCGGGGATTCGAAACCACCCCAGTTGACTCAATGACAGACTTTATGATACAGCGTACACATGCTAACCATTCAGCCATCCACCCCCCACCTCATTGAATTAAGTAGCGTGGTTTCGATTCCCCACATGTACATGACAAGTACTAGTAGGGTAGCCTGTTCAATCTCATTGGTTTTCCCCAGGTCATCCGTTTTTCTCACACCACTAAAGACCCCTACGTGCAAATGAATTATTGAAATAAAACTAAACCACATGTTAGTCCCAAAATGACCTAGTGTGATTCCAGTGGAAGTTAATCCCCATTTCTCTCTATACATGTATTTATCAATAACCATTCAGAATTCTAAATGTAATTGCAACCAAACGCCAAAAAACCAGTACAACTTACATAATTATTCAACAAAATATACTACAAGTATCTATACTTTATTCAAAAAATACATATATAATGTAATATAATACAAAAGTCGACATTTAAATTGTAACAGTTTATCCACAGCATTAAGTTGGTGACAATTTAGGAAACGGTCTTCGAGAAAAACTTTGAAAATGTGGAAATACGCCAACACATTCAGCAGTATATCAGACAGGAAAACTGTGACGTTGACCAAATTTGATGAAAAAAAAAACAAAAAAAACCCCTACGGCCTCTATCACGTTTGCTGAAGGTTTTCGAACTAGGTGGGATAATACTGGAAAGGAAATTTGTGGAATACTGAATATCTATGCTTCACACCAACTTTGAAACAAATGCAAATAAATTATAGGGCAGTGTTCACAGGTTTTGCAGCCAATCTGCAGGGGTGGGGACAAAATTTGAAAAAGATACATTAACGATACCTTCTGTAAGATTTAGATAAAGAGCTGACCATTCTTGCTATGATAGTTCAAAAATAAATAATATACATGTAAAATGAAAATTTGATTCAAATTACTTCATTCTGAGCCAAGTTATCACAGTTTGTAGTTTTGACATGATGTGTGCATTGTGGTAATGAGGGTACAGGTATATTCGAGACTTGGCCTCACTTTCCCATTTTTTAATTAAATTTTTAAATTGCAGGCCAGTTAAAATCTTAAGTATCCAATGCCTTCATATTGCATACTTTTACACATTTTGTCAGCCAGTTTCATTTTGATTTTCCCTAAATTCGAATTCAACCTTGATTATGTGATTTTTCGAACAAACAGGAGCCATAATCGAGGAAGTTACGTTCGGATATGCGCGATTATGAAAAGGAACCAAGATCTTAGTGTGTAATGGTTATATATACACATGGTTTTTTTTTATAAATCGAATAAAAATTGTGACCTCTACAGGGACCACAAGCTAAAAACGGATGGACGTCTGGACGGACAGGGGCTACGACAATATACGTCCACATGAAAATGTGGGCGTATAAAAATTGTGACCTCTATAGGGACCACAAGCTAAAAACAGATGGACGTCCAGACAGACAAGGGCTACGACAATATACGTCCACATGAAAATGTGGGCGTATAAAAATTGTGACCTCTATAGGGTCCACAAGCTAAAAACTTGATTTTTCGTACAATCAGGGACCATAATTCAAGAAGATAAGGTCAGATACATGCCAATATCGAAAGCAACCGAGATCTTTTGGAGATAAACCTATATTTCAAGTTTCGTCAAAATCGGATAAGAATTGTGACCTGTAGAGTGTCCACAAACAATTGTGTACAGACGTCCGGACGGACCGGGGCTACCACAATATACGTCCACATGAAAATGTGGGCATATAAAAATTTTGACCTCTTTAGGGTCCACAAGCTAAAAACATGACATTCAGTACAATCAGGGGCCATAATCCATGAAGTTACGGTCCTACAAACAATTGTGGACGGACCGATGGACGTTCGGACGGACAGGGGCTACAACAATATACGTCTACATGAAAATGTTAGCGTATAAAAAGCTGTCACCTTCACAATCACAAATTAATTTGGACAAACAAACAGTCAGGGCAACAATATAATACCCCAACATTGAAATAAGGTATATACTTAATTACACCAATATTACATGTGTGGTAGAATTTGTTAAACACATTACAAATATAATTTTAACACAGATTTTTGCTATTATTGATCTATCACAAAAATTTGAAGAATTTGTAAGGGTTTAAAAAGTTTCCCGTATACTATGGCGGTATACTAGATTCAAAATTCATGTAATTTCTAAATTAAGACAATGTATAATTCAACTTCTTTTTTTGTTCAGTGTAAATTTTAATTGTTTCATCTTATTTCTATTATTAAGGCGAAAAATGTCTAGTCACTTTACATGTTAAGCATGAACGGTAAACAAATTTAGAATTTTGATTTCTAACTAGCAACCATCATTATGACGTCGTTTGGTGTCGCCATCGTTCGCTCAATTTGGCGATTGAGCACCTGATCGGGACCATTCTGTTGATACAAACGACTCGCTCTTAGTCCGGTTGAATGGTTGGTGGAGTGCTAAAATTGAAAACAACTTCGAGAGAGAGAGCGAGAGAGAGTCTGATGGGGTTTAACGTCCACTCAACACAAACTACATGTAGGTTCGGTATTAACATGGTTCAATTTTATTTCAATAATTCGCTTGCGCGTAGGGGTGTTTAGCAATGGGAGGAAACCGGAGGACCCGGAGAAAACACACGAGGTTGGACAGGCGACCCTATTCCTTGTCATGTACAACCGGGGAATCGAAACCACCACACCAGCTGACTCAATGACATACCTTATGGTACAGCGCGCACGTGCTAACCTTTCGGCCATCCAACCCCACAAACAACATTGAACGTGATATCTATGTATGGTTTGCAAATACGATTTCAAATACGGTCGGTAAGACGCTGGCTCACTAGCCTAGCAGTAGGGTGTTCGATCCCTGCATTGGTCGAGAAAGTTCATCCAGATTTTCCGGCGTGGTTCCTCCTTGTCAGTGATGCAGGATGGAGGGCCTAACAAGTACAGCTGTCTAATCGTTCCGTAGTGCCACACTGTATGGCGTATTAGCCAAGTTCGGAGTAGAATAGTAGGATGTTAAACCCCATTATATTTCATTTTCTATTTCAAATACAAGCTAAACAGCATTTGTTCATTTTTTTTAAGACAGGTGCAGGATTTGGAGAATTTTATTTGATTTTTTTTTACAGTTGAGCCAATTAATATTTATATACTGTTGGTCTACATTAACACAGGGTACAATTTTATAGATAACTCTTACTGAGTTTAATATAAAGCAACGTTTCGACGAGGATACTCTCGTCTTTATCAAGAATGTGTCGTTTATATCAACACAATGGTCCCGACCAGGTGCACAATCACCAAAAATGAGCACGCAGTGGCGACACCAAATGACTTCATAATGATGGTTGCTAGGCAGAAGTGTAAAAATTAAGAAGACGTTTTTCGTCTAAATAATAGAAATAAGATGGAATAGAATTAAAATTTACACTGAACAAATAAAGAAGTTGGATTATACATTGTCTTAATTTAAAAAAATACATGAATAGAAGTTAGAAACTACATGAATAGAAGTTAAAAATTACATGAACAGAAGTTAGAAGTTAGACGAAAGCTCGTTAGAATTTTGAATCTAATATACCGCCATAGAATACTGGCTGCAGTAGATTTTCAACTCACTGATACAACTCAGTTCAAGCCAAAGAGCTGTTATATGATACTGTGACACAGTGACAGGATATCTGCTTGAGGCAAACTATTCATAAACAATTGACTCTTACAAGATCAGACGGAAAATTTTTTAGGCCTACTGCTTGTAAAGTAAAGCTTTGGCCTACATTCTGGTGAATTTTGTGCTACCATAGATACATATATGATTTCGGTACATAATTAAAAAGTCTTTATTTCTTTGCCATCTGGGTGGTTTCATAGACGAGTGTTATTGAGGAGTGTTATTGAGTTCAGTTGCTTGGTTTCAATCCCAAGTCGGTATGTGACAAATAGTTGTGTATGATAAGTAGTAATGTCATCTAGCTTCCATATACAAAGCCCTTATCAACCTTTTTATAACTTCCTCGACATGACTGCCACGAATGGTGCTCAAATATAGGATCTGTAAAAAAAAAAAAAAAAAAAATTCAATTAAAGCATCTTTTATACTCCAAAATAAAAATGAAATTAGGTTTAAATTATCATTCAATGTGTACAAAATACCTTGGTTTTTCGTCCCATTTGAAAGACTGTATATTGGCCCCAGCCTGCAGAGACTGGCGTTGGCCCTCTCCAGACCCTCTGTCGTGCTCAAAAGTTAACTTTAGTTATGTACAGCAGGTAGGTTTTTGATGAAAAGCAATAGCAGCCAGGGTCCAAGGGGGAGACGTCAAGTTTGGAATTACGTTCTGGTTGATTACAGTGTTACAGAAGAATTTGCCATATTTCTGCTATTTAGAATCAGAGAAGATTGAGATTAAAGTGTTGCCAATGCTATGAAAGTAAAAATGTCATGTGCCAAAGCCTGCAGCGTTGAGTAGTGAGGACATATTTCTTTTTAGTCCAAAAGGTCTAAGTAATTATTAATTAAGTACAAATGAAAATGTGTACTGTAATAACCTGATAATATTTTTTTTTTTTCACAAAAGCAAACTGTTTCGTAACCTGGCGTCTTACAGAAATAAGAATTACGGTGAAAAATTAGAAAATAAGGACATAGAAATAGTTTTACATCTGTGTGAATAGTATTTATTAGTATTTTTTCTACTATTACATTGTATTGTAAGTTCTTTTCATATCGCTGAATTTGTAGTCTCAGTATACGTGTATATCAGCAGTCGGGGATATAAGAAAAAAAACTTACTTTCAAATAAAACCTCTCGATTTAACTGGTATAATCTATCTTTCTCTGTTTGTGTAATCCAAGTAGCTGTATATTGAACATTTCTCATGCACTCCACGAATAAATTCCAAAACGCCCGCCATCTTTAAAATAACCTTCCCAGAATACCTCGCTTCCGGGTTCAGAGTTGTGAAAAAGTACGTACAAATATAAAAGAATCAAAATGATTTTAATAATGATAGTTTAATCAATGTAGACAATATACTGAAAAAGACAACAAACATAGACCACCTAACATTGAAATCAGTTAATAGAAATTACATTTAATAATCTATCGATGTAGTTATTCATTTGTATTGACTGTAATTTATCTTGACCCAAAATGGCGACATATATCATATACGTAGATAACGGAGTCTATGCGACTATCAACTGTAGGCCTACGCACTTTAATATTTTATATATAGTCTATAACTACGTAATATTTTAGGCCTATGAATAGTAAAATTGAAGAAATTATTATATGATTCAGAGGCCTTTTTTTAAGCATGCACATGATATAATATACATACGTACAGCTTTATTCGGATCACGACGGATGCAGTACTGCACTGGCAGTAGCCAAACTCGTATATTTGGTTGATGTTTTTTTTAAATAGATCGACTAGAGCCATTTTATTCAGTTGTATCAAATGAAATAATCCCGATTTTTAAAATAATATTTCCATTACGAATATAGGTATCTACTTTTAAGATGTCGGAATTGTTTTTATATTTATTTTCCCAGTCTTATATTTATCTAGGTCAAACTACAACATATTTATTCGACCGTTGGACAACTTTCAAACGTGTGATAGAATATACTATAAGGACTAAATTAAATATATTTTTTGTGGTAACAGAGCTTAGACACATAACAAATTGTACACACATGCAATAAAATAATATCTAAATTTCTACAAATTTTGACCGAATTTAAATTGGTTTGAAAGGCTACTAACATGTCTGAGTTGGGGTATTAAGATAATTTATATTTACTTATTGTGCAAATGTTAGTCAATTTAATAAATTCAATAACCACCCATGCAGTTAAACGCTGCCCCAAAATTAACATTCAGGCTGTAAAGGTGTTTTGGGCAATAAAATAAAAAAAGGTATTGTAATATTTTGGGGCAGATTTTATTTTGTTTAACTTCTAATTGGCTAGTTCTTGTATGCATGGAAAACAGGCCACATGAAGCCAAGCCTAGAAAATATTCCAGAGTGTCCTAAATCTAATTAGCCATCAAATTTCCAAACATTCAACCAAAATGAGACGGAGGAGTCCACTAGGCCTACTATATTATTATTATGGTTCAATTATAGCACTTCATTACACATGAGTATTTCTAAGCGCATTCACAAAAACACCCATTTCAACACCATTTTTTGGGGGTTGGATGGCCGAATGGAGACGACCTGTCATTGAGTCAACTGGCGTGGTTTCGAATCCCCGGTTATACGTGACAAGGAGTAGGGTCGTCCGTCCAACCTCATGGATTTTCTCCGGGTCCTCCCACTGCTAAAGACCCCTACGTGCAAGCAAATTATTGAAATAAAATTAAACTATATGTTAGTCCCGAAATGACCTAGTTTGTGTCAAGTGGACGTTAAACCCCATTTCTCTCTCTCTCTCTCTCTCTCGTTAAACCCCATTTCTCTCTCTCTCTCTCAACATCATTTTTGAAATAAATGAGTTTTTAAGTTTTGGATGGAAGAGGACTCACGAAGAGGTTTTGGAAGACAATTTCACCTTTTAGCTGCTCTGACAGAGAAAGAATATTGACAAGCATATTCAATATGTTTCTTTTCTTATGATAGTTTAACAAAATAAAATTTACAGTTCGCACTACTTTCGAGTAGTTGTTGTAGTCACAGAGACCCGAATAGTAAGGAGAATGTGTTTGTGAACTGCACAGGTTTTTTTGTGGAATTATATTTATGACCCCTTTGCCACAGTGGCTAAGTGAATAAGACACTGGCTGGCTTGCTTGGAGGTCACAGGTTCGCTCACAGTGTTGCCTGAGAAAGCTCATCAGAATTTTCCGACGTGGTTTCCACTTGTCAGTGGTGTAGGATGGAGGGCCTGATAAGGACAGCTGTCTAGTCATTTGGATGGGGTAAAAAACTGAGGTCTTATGTACACATTGGCATGTACATAAAAGATCCCCTAGCAGTTGGAATTCAATATAAGAGTAGGCCTGAGCACTGCTGTCCAAACAAAACTCCCTTGTAGCACACTGGCGCGAGGTTGGATGGCCAAATGGTTAGCGTGTGCGCGTTGTATCATAAGGTATGATTGAGTCAACTGGCGTGGTTTCGATTCCCTGGTTGTACATGACAAGGAGTAAGTTCGCCTGTCAAACTTGCATGGGTTTCTCTGGGTCCTTTGGTTTCCTCCCACTGCTAAAGACCCCTACGGGCACGCGAATTATTGAAATAAAATTAAACTATATATGTTAGTCCAGAAATGACCTAGTTTATGTCGAGTTGATGATAAATGCCATTTCATTCTCTCTGAGGTCCCATGTACACATTGGCATGCACTTAAAGATCCCCTTGCAGTTGGAATTCAATATAAGAGTAGGCCTTAGCACTCCTGTCCAGACAAAACTCCCTGGTAACGCACTGGCGGAGGGTCGGATGGCCAAATGGTTAGGCAGTGGACACACTAGCCGAATGATTCGGTGTCCACTGTCATTCAGCCGAATAATTCGCCCGAATCAATTATATTCGCCTGGTGTGTTCGCTTCGCCGAATATAGAATTCATTAGCCAATCACCACTCATATCGAGAAGTCACATGATAGATTAAAGACATAGACGCCGCCATGTTTAATCATGTGACGTGAAAGGTGATGCAACCGACAGGTTGAATCGGGCGAAGCATTCGGCTAGTGTGTCCACCCATTCGGCCGAACGATTTGGCTAGTGTGTCCATCGATTTAGCGCATGCGTGTTGTACCATAAGGTATGTCATTGAGTCAACTGGCGTGGGTTCCATTCCCGGGTTGAATATGACAAGGAGTAGGGTCGTCTGTCCAACCCCGTGGATTTTCTCTGGGTGCTCCTGTTTCTTCCCACTGCTAAAGACCCCTACGGTTAGTCCTGAAATAACCTAGTTTGTGTCGAGTGGATGTTAAACCCCATTTCATTCTCACTCTCCCTTTGGATGGTGCCACACTTTTTCATGCATTATCATTATTTGTTTTCCCTCTCAGGTTTGATTTCGATTGCAAAACCACATAAAAAAGGCTATTAATTGGACTACTTTCAAGTTGCTGTAGTCACAGACTCAAATAGTAAGGATTATGTGTTTGTGAACTGCAAATTTTTTTTTTGTGGCACTACATTTATGACCCCGGAGCCAGGATTTTCCGATGTGGTTTCTGCTTGGCAGTGTTGCAGGACAGCTGTCTAGTCGTTCAGATGGGACAAAAATCTGAGGTCCCATGTACACAAAATGAAATGAAATGAAATGGGGTTTAACATCCTACTGTTCTGCTCCTAAACCGGGCTAATGAAGATGGGCCTACACCATACAGTGTGCTATGAGGGAAATTTTGCCCGGGCAGCGGCACAACAGAATACTCTTATATCAAATTCCAACTACCAACGGATCTTTTACGTGCACTCCAATGTGTACAATATCAAGTTACTGTAGTCACAGACAGGAATAATAAGGAGAATGTGTTTGTGCACTGCACAGGTTTCTAGTCTTTCGGATGGGACGAAAAACTGAGGTCCCATGTACACATCGGCATGCACGTTAAAGATCCCCTGACAGTTGGAACTCAATATATGAGTAGGCCTTAGCACAGCTGTCCGGATAAAACTCCCTTGTAGCACACTGGCGTGGTTGAATGGCTAATGGTTAACTTTCAAGTTAACACACTGGCTAACTAACGAGGGGTCCGATCCTGGTGTAGAATTTTCCCCTTGTTTGTAATGTAGGACAGTGTCTAGTCCTTCAAATAGGACAAAAAATCAAGATCTTGTGCTCATGTTGCATGTGCATGTAAACGAAACCTTGACAGCTGGAATTCGAAATGAGAGTAGGTCATTCATTTATTCCTTTTTCTCTTTATGTGTCGCTTACAGGCTGAAATTCTTAAAGGAGTTAAAAGGTTTGATCCCTGCATTGGCCGAGAAAGTGATGCGGGACATAGGGCCTGATAAGGACACCTGTCTAGTTGTTCGGATCCGATGAAAAACTGAGGTCCTGTGGACACATTAGTGTGCACGTAAAAGATCCCTTGAAGTTGGAATTTGATATAAGAGTAGGTCGTAGTGCCGCTGTACGGGCAAAATGTCCTTCATAGCACACTGTATGGCACATGCCCGTCTTCATTAGCCCAGTTCGGAGCAGAACAGTAGGACGTTAAACCCCATTTCATTTCTATTGTTGGGCCCCTGGAAATGGACAAAAATGGGTAGCAAGGCATATAATAATATAACATGAATGTATATAAACTGAATAAAGTTCAGTCTTATCTGGTTTTACTGTATATTTTAATCAATTATGTTCGACAAAATATGCAAAAAGCCCAAATTGAATGACAGTCTTTGGCGTCTGCTTATTCTAGTCCACACCAGTATTCTCCTGTGGGATATGGTTAGCCTTCTTCATCGAGTCGCTTCATTACAAATGGTGCTCATGTTATTAAACTGACATTTGTTTACGTAAGAAAACTAAGGATAAAAAATGACAGTAATTTAATTGTTAGTATCATGAAATTAAACTGATATTTGTTTTACTTTATACAACTAATATCAGGTTTATGTTAGAAAACTAACGTTAGATTTATGTTAGAAAACTAACATTAGATTTATGTTAGAAAATTAGCGTTAAATTAACAGTTAAAATTATGACACAAAAGTAACGTTATATTAACGTTAGAAAACTAACGTTATATTAACGTTAGAAAACTAACGTTAGATTTACGTCAGAAAACTAACCATAAACTAACGGTTAGAAACCGGATGTAAAATTTACGTTAGAATAACGTTAGAATTATAACCAATAATACATATATAATTATTATGTCTGAATTCCAACTATTTATCAATTGTTAGAAAGTGCACACACTTGTAATGTTATTTAATCAAGAAGTATTTAAAGCAAAAAAAATTGGTTAGTAATCCGTCATAAAGTTTACGTTACATTTACGTCATTTTCTGACGTAAAAGTAACCATAACCATTATGACGTAAAAGTAATGTAAATTTAACCAAAGAATTTTACCATTATTGGACGCTAACCAAAATCTAACCATAATGACGTAAACTTTACGTAAATCTAACCATCAATGTTAACTGGATAGTCAGAAAAAAAAACCGTAGCCTATAGTCGGACGGGTGGTAAGAAATACTGAGGTCACAAGTACACGTTAGCGTGCACATAAAAAAAACCTTGAATTGCTGTTCCGGCAATAATTCTCTCATAGAAACATGTATGCCGCGTGCTCGTCTTCGTGATCCCGGTACGTGCAGTAAAGTCACGTAGGACGTTAAACCCCAATGTCACTGTCCTTGGTTTCGGGGCACACTATTTTCGGATGGTAGTAAAATTACCCTCGACTTACCGTAAGAATAAGAGGTTAACATCACTCATGAAAATTATCTTGATTTAAATACGAAATGCATATAATCCTGTCAAAACTTGATAAAAACTTGATAAGCAAGACCCAGTTGAAAATTTAAAAAATCATGTACACGGATATTTTACTGACTTAAATCTATACAAATTCAACTATAGAAGAGTCCCTAAACCTTGGTGTGTATATTTTAGAACACAATTATTATATTCACTGCACTTTATCTATGGCCACACTTCATAACTATGACTAATATAAAACAAAACTAAGCTAGCCTATCTTTTTAGATTATAAGTAGTATTTACTGTAATATTTCCGCATACAAACACGTATTGTGTATATATGAGTTGGCCTTTATACCGATAATAAAAGAAACACATTCCAACGTCGGCCTACTATTACAACATTCAATCTTTAAGGTCCGTTCATACTACTTCCCCGTATTAAATCATCTCCCCAAATAGAAACTCAATCTCTGACAAGACAATAATTCAGCCTTGAAAGCTGGACGTTTTCGCGTTTTCTATTTGAACGGCAAAACGCGGCGCGGATACGGATACGTTTATGGATACGGCTGTGGTATGAACCGAGCTTTAGGATATACAATTATGTGTACTTTTTAAATTTAATTTTAAAAAGGTCAGTATTGTTCAGGTCTGGTTATGTTAAGATTTATGTATATACATTATCCGCCGCAATATGAAACCTGTCATTGAGTCAACTGGCGTGGTTTCGATTCCCCTGTTGTACGTGACAAGGAGTAGGGTCGTCTAGCTGTCCAACCTCGTGGGTTTTCTCCGGGTCGTCCGGTTTCCTCCCACTGCTAAAGACCCCTACGCGCAAGCGAATTATTGAAATAAAATTAAACCATATGTAAAATGACCTCGTTTGTGTCGAGTGAACGTTAAACCCCATTTCTCTCTCTCTCTCCAATATGTAACTGTATTTATTGGGTGTTTGGATGATGCGTTATTTATTCAAGGTGTTCTGTTACTGTTAAAATGTTACAGTGATATCAAACAATTCGCCCTAATAAATTTAGTGTATTTAATAGATTTTGGGGTGGGTCGGGGCCTATTTTAAGGTGCCCTGGGGCATTTCCGTGCTCTGATGAGCGAAAACCGTGCTCTAGGGAAATAAAAAGACACGCTTTGAAAAAGTTTCAATTCGGGCAAAAATTAGTCTTCAGTTGTACCAGTCATCGGAATGAACTAATATATAGGTATGGGCCGTACAGTCTAGTTTGTCATTGTCTGTGTATTGGCAGTGCCCTCGTCAAGTTCCCGGAGATGTATGCCAAATTGATGCTAGAGCCAATATACTTTTCAAAAATGTCCAAAGCCTAGAGCTGCCTCGGGCCCCCTAGAATTAACGTTTCCCTTAATAGACTCCGGCGAGGGTGGGTGGGATGGGGTTAAGTTGCCTTTAAAAGTTATTTCTGGATATCAAGGGGATATAGAATAATCCGCCCCAATAATTATAGTATATTTATTGGATATGAGGCACAATACTGGATCTTGGATATGAGTCCGTGGGATGGGTTTAAATTTCTCGTTAAATCTAGTTCCTGTTGAGATGTGCGCTGGTAGGGAATGTTACGTTGATTGGGTGTTGTAGTCCTACCTGGTAGGGAATGATACGTTGAGTGGGTGCAGTTGTCCGATGGTAGGGAATGGTACGTTGACTGGGTGTTGTGCGCTGGTAGGGAATGTTACGTTGATTGGGTGTTGTACCTGGTAGGGAATGATACGTTGAGTGGGTGCAGTTGTCCGGTGGTAGGGAATGGTACGTTGACCGGGTGTAGTGCGCTGGTAGTGAATGTCACGTTGATTGGGTGATGTGCCTGGTAGGGAATGATACGTTGACTGGGTGCAGTTGTCCGATTGTAGGGAATGGTATGTTGACTGGGTGTTATACGCCGGTAGGGAATGTTTAATGTTTCAAATACACCTGATACTTCACTTTATCATATATCCAAATTGAAGTTGAGCCTTGGACCTTCACCTTTTGTTGTTAATGTTATAATGGGCCGCCAATGGGCGTCCTCGCTGAAGGAATTCTCACCAGGCGTCGCTAGTAAAAACTCGGTTCCACGTGACCTTATCGATGGCAAGAGAACCGTATTTCGAAGTATCGTGATTAAATTCCACATTAATGACAAAAACTAACGTGTGTCCACACACCAGTTCGTAATGAATGTACAGGAAAACAATGCTGTAAGGTAAACAATGAGGTCACGTGGGACCGCCTCCTCTATGGTGTCGCCTATAAATTATGCCCCCTTATCTCTAGCGAGGACGCCCATTATGAATGTAATCACGTGAAGCTAGTCCGACACTCTCCCTTTCGAATGAAATAATGGACCGCCATCGTCCCTCGCGAATGTAATGGTGATTCGCCAACCTTTGTCTTGTTTTGCCGGACTAAGTAAGTTTCCTTAGTTCACATAAGCAAACGTCATAAACTTAGGCTGTCTGTCTACAGTTAACCCCGCTTGAGAACAGACATTAAGCTAGTTGACCGACATTATAAAGTCTAAATCGAATGTTTTAGTCGAAAACACTAAGTATACTTCGAGAATATTAAGAAGCATTTATTCTGCTTCCATTTAATGGAAGTAAAAAGGTTTATTTAGTCTTTGTATGTATGAAACCTGTAAAACATTGTAGAACCGCATTACGAAATAGTATACGAATTTTTTGATATGGTGGCCATTCAGGGCAGAGACTTATCATCGAAGTATGAAGCAAATGGATCACGGTGTGCAGAATGAAGCAAATAACTCTCTTAATTTATAAGAAAAACCGGCTACTGTTACATGAAACATAGTCGTAATCCTATTCATATTGATATAGTAGAAGGATCGTCTGTTTACTCAAGGTTGTAAATCATTATTCAAGTGATCGTAGGGGTATCTAACTATCTTGTTCTGTATATCTGTCATAAATGATATGGGGTTTGACGACCTATTGTTCAGCTCTATCAGGCTAAGACGGGAGTGTATTAAATGAAATAAAAAGGAATGAAGTTTCAGTTCGTTTTTTTTTTAAATTTCTGCTCCGAGAAAATTGTTCCCGCCTTTTATTCATCAAATTCCAACAGTCATGGTTTCTATTATCTCGGTTTTACGTCCCATCCGAACGACTGCACACTTTTCCTTGCCTGGTATCACTGACAGGGGAAACCAGGTTGGAAAATCCAGAGGAATTCTCTTGGTCAACACCAGTGTCAGGGCCTTCCGGATAGTTAGCAAGCACCATTCTTACTAGTTTCTCTTTAGGGACGGCTTCTGATCGAACCCTGTCCTCTCAGAAGCCTTTCCTAAAGGAACTACATTCTTACCAAGACATTATGACTCCCCTAAGGCATATACCATGCTTACAATGTTAGGATATCGAAGGATCAAATGTGGGCTTATTGCATTCGAACACCAATAGCCTGTGCAGCAAGTTCAATACATTTAATCTATGTGCGCTTGTGTGTGCTTTGTGAAAAGGGGTCCTGGTACAACTTTGCACACGTTTAATATATGGGGCAGGGCCGATTTACCCAATACTACCCAAAACTCACTCGGTTGGATCTACCGGTACTGGTACTATAAAATTTTTTTACATTTTACCGTAGCCTCCACTCTTTGCTAACTGCACGAATTAACGATAATGAATTTAGTCTGTCCTTTTTTTAAAACAATAATAAGGTAGTAATGATAATATTGGGTAAATCGTCTTGCCGCCATATTTGTATGAAGTACCAATTATCCGAATTATCAAACAAGACCCCCCCCCCCTCCACCCCTGCAAAAAAACCTACACAACATATCAGATCAACACCTCCGAAAAATAGCACATCAGGTAAACATCTCCCCAAAACAACACATCGGAACAGATGAGCACTTCCCATCCGATCAGAACAGATGAAGACCCCTCAAAATTTATTTGGACAATAATCAAAGATGTAAACACAGAGAAGAGTTTTATAAAATGTATTTATTCATGAAGTGACTTTTAAATATGAGTTATGACAGACAGCTTTAGCTGCTAATTTTCGTCCACTGAGAGTTGATAGGTCACAGATGTGTAGGATTTGTTGGTTGGTGAATATACCAGGCATCGTTTTCATTAACTGTGGTAGCTGAATAGAAACAAACAAATATTGTGATCAGAAGGAATACAAAGATATGTATAGTTCTATATTTTTGTCTATTTATGAAGTGAATAGACTTGCACCCTGTGTTGATACTCAATACCACATCAAGCAAATGAATTACCAGTATATTGTCCTTCATAAAGATATAAACCACAACACTTGAATCATATGACAGACATAAGATGACTCAGTCACCCCCATTACATAAACAAGTCTTTGCTGTCCTTAAAATATTTTTGACTATCTGCCATATTGTACAAGCAACCAAATTTCCAGTTTATCTTTTATCGGGTCCTATTTACCCGTGTTTATTATCCCAGTCGGGGCAGAAGAGTAGAACGTTAAACCCTATTTCATTTTACAAATATCTACCTACCATATTACTTGGCATAAACTGTAGTATAAAACGGTAATATTGTGGACCACATTTTAAAGCTTCGTCAATAAATGATCTGATAAAACCTGTTCTAGCTGTAACTCTCTTGTCATGTACGATAGCATTTAACAAACAGAAGAGATTCACTGAAATATAAAATATCTATATAACCAAACTATTCTAGAAAAAATGGATCAGTTTACTTCAACCAGAGAGGGAAGAGACAGACAGTATATAATGTATTCATCTACAGCTATATGTTAATATGACCAGCATGGTTTCAAGATAAAATGCCTGACATTCTTATATAGTAAAAGTCTTATTTAGATTTAAAGGAATACAATTTTATTGCATCCACTGTTGGAAACTGATATAAATAACCATTCATAATTTCCTTCAAAAAAGTGAGAGAGAGAGAGAGAGAGAGAGAAATGGGGTTTATCTTCCACTAGACACATACCAGGTCATTTCGTGACTAACATATGGTTCAATTTTATTTCAATAATTTGCTTGCGCGTAGCGGTCTTTAGCAGTGGGATGAAAACGGAAGGACCCAGAGAAAACCCACGAGGTTGGACAGGTGACCCTACTCCTTGTCACGTACAACCAGGGAATCAAAGCCACGCCAGTTCGCTCAATGGCAGACCTTATGATACAACACACACACACACTAACCATTCGGCCACCCCCCCCCACCACCTTTCAATCTATTTCCATCATATGTTTCTAACATAATGCCTCTTTAAATTATTTACCCCTATTTCTATTTAGTCATATATATTATTTACCTATAGCTTTATTTAAAGGTTCTTTTGTATCAAATGCAGGAGAATGTTCACCATCTTCTTTAACTGTCATATCATCTGTTATAATAAACAATATTTACATAATTAGCAACAACATATGGGATACTTTACAGACTCAATGATCAGGCTACTCCTTAGCCTTCCTCAGTTTCTGACCAAAATAATGCCGACACGAGAGCCAGGAAGAATTCAAAATAGCATCAATATACTGTCATTGTTCTTTGTTATCAAGCAAAGGTTACACCATAGGTGTAGGGGGGCAATCCCAGTTGAGACTATTTGACCAAAAATTTTCTTTGTCACTCCACAAATGTTATTGTGCGAGGTCTAAAGTATTATAGCATTTAAAACGTATACTGCTACCATTACATTTTACAATTATACAACCAATTATATTTCTATGATATATGGTCTCATTCCCTGACGTTTGTTCGGTTTACCGAATCTGGGAGGCCTGCAGCCCCCCCCCCCTTTGCTCCTGCACCTATGGGCTATGGGTTACACTACTCACCAAAATTGAAATCCTCTGAGAGAAGAGTTAGCTGAGGTTCGTTAATTTTACGCATTTTAGCTGGTCGAACTTCACATTCATCCATTTCCTATAAAGAGCAAAAAACAGTTCCGTGTTGGTGATTGTTTTAATTTTAACATCTTCTGGATTCCTATTTGTTTATGTGTGGAGCAAGATATACTTTAATTAAATCATTCTACCAGCTAAATAATAACCTCTCGTTTGTGCCATCGCCATGTGAAAGACATAAAGAGAGAAAGGATTGTGGCACTGCTGGCTTTACAATCAAATATTGGCTTTTGATAAAGATAATCCTTCAGTGATATTTAGGGATTGAGCACAATTATACACAACAACTATTTATATGGAATACAACAACTGGTTTAAGAGGAAATGAAATGAAATGGGTTTAACATCCTACTTTTCTGCACGACTGTGCTAATGATTCTAGTGTAGTAACGACAAGTAAAACAAAATTTTGAACTATAAAAAACGAAACGAAATAGGATCTGTGTTTTAATCAGACTGAGATTGAAAGGTGTGACAAGAAAGACTGTATTATACCTCAACATCAACATCTATTCTAGATCTCTTTCTCCCTCTTCTAACATACGGTTCTACAAAATAATAAAATATAATATAGATATATATATAGTCATCAGTACAAACCAGTAGTGGGGGGGGGGGGGTGGATGTACCCCAATATTAGGTGCCTCAAAATTCTGTATCACCTCCAGATAATACTGAATTTGAAAATGATAACTTCATAATTGGCTACATATCCAGGATTAATTTTATTGTAAGTGCAGGGGGACTGCACCACACACAAATATATAAGATAATCTACGGACAAGACATAATATACAGACATCACAAACAACAAACGTACATATCAGATCAAGTGAATGGAGTTTAACTCCACTCAACACAACACATGGTTCAATTTTATATCAATAAGTCTTGAGCAGTGGGAGGAAACCAGATGAACTGGAGAAAGCCCACAAGGTTAACCATTTGACCACCCAACCCCACCCAACATGTGACCTCTTCATGAGTGAGACAGCAGCATACCCACCGAACCACTGTGACTAATGTACAATGTTAAGACGGTTGGATGAGTGCTTGAATTAGGATGGTTAGATAGTAAAGGTTACAACAATGGTTGTCACTCTGTACTAATTGATGTTCGGGGTTGGATGGCCAAATGGTTGCACGTGCACGCTGTATCATACCGTCTATCATTTAGTCAACTCGCGTGGTTTCGATTCCCCAGTTATATGTGACAAGGAGTAGGGTTGACTGCCCAATCTCGTGGGTTTTCTCCGGGTCCTCCGGTTTCCTCCGACTGCTAAAGACCCCTATGCGCAAGTGAATTATTGAAATAAAATTGAACCATGTGTTAGTCCCGCTCCCTGATAACGAGCCCCCCCCACATCAGTATATAAACTTACCTTTCTGTCCAACTTTAGAGACTTGTGCTGCTGTTATACAGAGTACAACAAGTTTAGCTAATGTATAACCTCTAGGATCAATCATTAGATGTGAATTATCTGCTGAGTATAGTATACGAGGCAGTGTATTCACTAATAAACTTAGTGTCAGATGTTCTAAATCCATGTGAAATAAGGCAAACACCAGACTTACAGCCATACATAGATCATCTACTTTATTACTTTCTAACATATGCTGAAAATATACAAATATAATAAAATAGTGTTCTTCTAAAATCAGCTCATCATCATTTGAGATTTTTAATAATCCCAAGGAGACGATAAAACTGCACATTTGATAGGGAAAGAAGAACGGAAGAATCCCTATTACAGTGCAGGCAAGTTTGGATCTCAGTGATGCATCCGAGGAAAAACAGGAACCATTCCTTGTAGATAAATCATAGTAAAAAATCCCTGGTAACAACCTTGTTGTAACCAGTCGATGAAGGGCAGATCGCCCGAAACGCGTTCTGGATAAATCCTTTTTAAATCCACACAGTATTGTCAAGCTTGTTACCGCAGATTTTTTATTATGATTTGAGAGATTTCTAATCCCTTGCAAACTACAACTTGTGAAAGTGGTGGTTCTAATAACGGGAGAGAGAGAGAGAAATGGGGTTTAACGTCCACTCGTCACATACTAAGTCATTTCGTGACTAACATATGCTTAAATTTTATTTCAATAATTCGCTTGCACATAGGGGTCTTTAGTTGTGGGAGGAAACTAGAGAACCTAGAGAAAACCCACGAGGTTGGACAGGTGACCCTACCCCTTGTCACGTACAACCGTGGAACCGACACTATGCCAGTTGTCTCAATGACAGACCTTATGATACAGCGCGGCCATGGTTCAGTTCCATTCAGTTCCATAGGCTAATGAAGACGGGCATACGCCATACAGTGAGCTATGAGGGAAATTTTGCCAGAGCAGTTGCACTATGGCCTACTCTTGTATCAAATCCCAACTGCCAAGGGATCTTTTACGTGCACACCAATTTATACAGGGGACCTCGGTTTTTCGTCATATCTGAACGACCAGACAGTTGTCCTTGTCAGACCCTCTTTCCTGCACCACGTCAGAAAACCACAATGAACTTTCTCAGCCAATGCAGGGGATATAAATAAGCCAATGTCACCTATTATAGTGTGGGGTAAAATCTTTTGATGGGCCTCTTTCTAATCCGATTGAATCCATGCCGAGAGATTATCTACTGTTAATATTTTCTTAATAGAAGTTAAATAATCAACTTGTTTACACTTTAGTGTGGATCAAGTCATAAAAAAATTAGATATAGTGAAAATTTGCAAATATAAATAAAAATTGCAGAAATTCCACCAGACATCAATATCCACAAAATGAACAAGAAGACTTGGTTATTAACATACCACACCCTTGCATACTAAAAACTACGTTAAATTTGTTCCACGGAAGCATAAAAATGATTAATCTTTTATATGGTTTCCAATGGTTATTTATATATTGCACCACATTTTTGTTATCATTATTTGCTTGATAACGATATCTGTATGTGTATTGAAATGTATAGCATGTTAGTAAATTCAGAAGTAGTATATCCATATAAGTGTTTATAATTTACAAATAGATTGATATGTCTGAAAAGTTTATAATGGTTTATAAGATAAGCCCCATAAACAAGGCCCGGTAGGACCGACAGAGTCCACTTGAACATCCCCCTCAACCGTTAACTTCAGGGTAAGAAACGAATATACCTACATGTACAACTTGATCACAGAACCGATCGGATCCACAGAGATTTAAAACTTGTTCTAATGTATGTAAACTCTTTAAATCAACCCAACCTTTACTAAACACTAGTTTTAATGTTTCTTCTAGTATAATAGCAGGTGGTTCATTGGCTGGAATGTATTGTTTACTGATGTTACGTAAATGATGATTGGCTGGTAAAATTTCTTGTGATAAATGTTCTATTACTGTCTTCATAAATTGGCACCTGCTTAAAAATAAAGGTGGAGTTCTAGAAATGTTTAGAAATAATGAAACTTCAAAGAAATATTTTTTGGTCTATCAGGAGAAGATTACCAAGTCTATGCAAAATGAAATGAAATAGGGTTTAAATGTTCTACTGTTCTGCTTCGACTGGGCTATTGAAGATGGGCAAAAGCCATACAGTGTGCTAAGAGGGAAATTTTGCCTTGACAGCGACGCTACTGCCTACTTTTATATCGAATTCCAACTGCCAAGGAATATTCCGTCCCATCCGAACGACTATACCTTGTTCTGCACCAGATGTCTGGTTGATAATCAGTACAATAATCAATAATACCTGTCATTCTGTGATGATGAATCAGATTTATTAGATGTTGTCATGAGTTGTTCTAACATGAGTAGAGGTTTTTCCCGTCGTTCCTGGTCAGCAGTATTTATATAACAACATAACCAACAACTAACAACAACTGGTAAACAACACATCCAATTCTTTACATTCTCTAATACAGTCTAAATATAAAATATAAAATTAAAATATAAGATATAAGATATAAGATATATTTTACAGTAAATAACACATCCAATTTTTTACATTCCTTAACACAGTCTAAATTTATAATACAAATATTTTAGAGTTGTTAATGTCCCTCCCTAAAATAAACTAAGCCATGTCAAGACATAAATACTTTACACAAAAAAAGAGAATATGTATGTGTAATGCTAGAGAGGAGAATTTTGGCTGGTCAGCACAATTTCAATCTACTCTTCATCGTATACTAACTGTCAAGCTCCTCTTACATGGTGTATGTCCATGTTTACAGAGGTGGACCGCTCTTTTATCTGTACCATCGGAACGACTAAACAACACTGTACATGTCAGTTCTAAAGTTACTTCTCTTGATCAATGGGATTGAAAAGAGATTCTTCTCAGTTCACATTTTAAATTTAGAAATGTAGATAGAATGATAACTCTTTGAAATTGATGATTCAATTGGGTTTGTCCTTATTCCCGAATAAACAATCTCATTAAATTTTAAAATTGGATGGTATTCATCGGTATAGCTACACGTAAAATCTAACTGGATTTTTAAATATTTCATTAACAACTTTGTCATGTATCACATTCACACACTTTTATTGGAAAATTCTGGAGTTCAACAGATGTAATATGTTAAAAACTCTGGCATGTTGTGTTCACCTAAAATTGTTGACCAGAAGCTGGACCAACTGGCTGAGGGAATGACCATATATATCCACATTAAATGTGGGTGTATAAAAATATGGACAATAAAGAATATTGAATATTGACCACTTTAATGACATGGAGTTGTAACTGACCTTGACTTGTTCTGGACCTATTGCACCATGTTCCCAGGCAAATAATATTTCTTGTATAGCAAACGGTGTATTTAAACATACTTCATGCCATCGAGTTAAACTACAATAAAACATGTGCTACTTAAAGTCTAGCTCACAATCCGCCGTACATGTACATGTTTTGGACATGCATGGTTTGGTAACCTGCAAACCGGTCGCATGAAACTGGGTGGAAGTTTTGCGAACAGTACAGCCACAGTACTTGTCACAAGTGTCTATGGCCTGTCTATGATCTTCTACGGTGCCGAACACGCAAGTCTCACGCACAGGTTTACTAAAATCCCCTTTATAGACTGCTTGTACGGCGGGTTGTGAACTACGGAATGGACTGACTTAAAACCATTCAACTAGTCTCTTATGGTCAGCGCTCTTTTAGTTTTTATACCCCTTTTAGATTAAGATGCTGCACATCCCTATATTCTTTTAAAAAACGATTTATTTTAACAAGTTTCTGTATATACAACTTTTATGATTATATTGTCAGTTTGTAAAGTGCCCCTGAACATGTTATATGAAAGGGGCACACTATAAATATGCTGTAATAATGATAATAATAATAAAACATTTTTTGGTTATGCATGCAAGGTAGGAGAAATTTGCCCATACAGTGGCATCTCCACCTACTATCAAAGTTCTTCTACAGGCATGTTAATTAGTAAACAAGTGAATCTTGGGGTTTTTGTGTCCCATCTGAATAACTAAGCATACTGTCCCTGTCAATGTTGGAGACGCCATCACTGTCAAATCCCTATAGTAAGTGCAGGAGAACTTCACTATATGCATAAGAAAACCGATAAAACCTGCAGACAAGACAAACTACACAGACATTGCAAGAAATAAACAAGAAATATCAAATCAAGTGAATGGATCTGGGGGCCAGCCGTCAGCGTCCACTGCACTGTGTAATGATACAGGTTTCACTCAATATGAAAAAAATAATAACAGAATTTGGTTTTGCTTCACTCAACAGCAATAATGTTCAAATTTCTTTAAACAAGCATTATGCAAGAGCAAAATCTGCTTATTACAAGTCTTTCTTTAGGCCTGAAATGTTATCTAAATTATCAATTAGACATTTATTAACTTATCCAGACCATAATAAACTCTCGATGTCAAGGCTAGCCTTCGATGTAGGCTGGATTAGATTCCTATATGCCGCTAACGGCCAAAGATAATTAAATCAGAAAAAGTGGATTATCGAGACTATGCTGTTTATATTAATGATTTTAGTAATGATAACCGAGACTATGCAAAAATTTCACCGGTTTCTTTCTCGGCTCATAGTGGATCAATTTGACTGAAATTTTCAGCAAATTACCTTTACATTATCTAGTTTTTAACTATTATAGCGAGAACTGCCATCTCTTTATCTTATCTCTCATAATGTATCTTTAAGTAGTACCAGAATAAAATGCAATATTTTGGCAGTACTTACCTTGTTTTAAGTTCTCCAGATGACAGAAACAGATTTATTAATGATTCCACTTTATTAGAATCTGATGGATTACAGTTCTCTATATTTTTATATTTACCATCTTCAGGAAACCATCTCTGTGCCCATTGGACAAAAAATGAATCCACTGTTTCTTTATGACCATTGGTGATGGTCTGAAGCATAAAGTATTATGAATTGGATGACCTATGAAAGCTATAGACAGCAAACAGGGGCTTATCAGGCTTCCATGCTCTAAAATCATTGTCGATAAATCCTGCCAAGCAAGTTTTTGAACTCTGACCCAAGCCTTATAAGTAGAAATGTCAATAGATGTCTGCCATGTATTGCATTCACAAGATTCGTGAATAAAAAAGGAAAAGGAACATTTGGGTTTCTCCTAAAGCTCAAAAGAGCAATCTCACCAAATATTTAAAAATTCTATTGAAAGTTTTATTTCTATTTTTCCTTATGCATCAAGGAACAATCTCACCAATTTTTAAACATAATGTTGAGTCCTCTGTCCTGTACTCTGAACAAGAGTTGAACATAAACAAGGGAGATAAGTCTGCGATTTGTGATAGAAAAGTTCTGAATTTGGATAGATGTCTTCGAATTCCTTCAGACCAAATGAAATATCTGTGGAGTATTCACAGGTAATTGTGGACGAAACCATGGTCCCCACAAAATCAACAGACAGCAGTGAAAACATATAAACAAGTTAACGCATAAATAAGATATCATTACAGACATACAAGACTAGACATGACAGTCTTTGTTTTTTGTACATAGGGCTATGTAAGTTATATGTGAGAGAGAGAGAGAGAGAGAGAGGGGTTTAACGTCCACTCGACACAGACTAGGTCATTTCAGGACTAACATATGGTTTTTAATTTTATTTCAATAATTTGCTTGCGCGTAGAGGTCTTTAGCAGTGGGAGGAAACCGGAGGACCCAGAGAAAACGGACGAGGTTGGACAGGCAACCCTACTCCTTGTCACGTACAACCGGGGTTTCGAAACCATGCCAGTTGACTCAATGATAGGCCTTATGATACAGCGTGCACGTGCTAACGGTTCGGCCATCCAACCCCACTAACTTATATGTACTCACAAAGTAAATGCATGGACTAGTGTTGTTGTTATTTATTTGTTCTTACCTCCAGACCATATTGTTGTAATATAGGACATAACATGAGAAATGTGATATCAAACAGTCTAGCACGAGTCTGTGATGCTTTACCGGCTTCACCAGCTGAATGACGGGCAAATTCATTTAATCTAAAAACAAATAATAAAAACCTTAAGTGTTTTGGTCTCTTCCAAGTATTAATAATTATGCAGATGACAAAACAAGTCATACATGCATACACAATTCATACAAAAACATACACCATGTGTGGCATTCATTAGAATTCAAGGAATTAAAATGGAAAAGGAGGGAAAACTCTGAAGTTCATTAATTAGGGTTCCTCCTAAAGCTCAAAAGAACAATCTCACCAAATATTAAAAATTCCATCATACACCGACAAACAGAAACCTGGCTGGAAAATCCTGAAAAAATTTTTCGACGAAGACTAGGATTGAACTTTAGGACCTGCTAGTTAGTGAGAGCCAGCTGAGCTCAGTACTCACCAAACCACTTTGGCACCACCATTCAATCAAACCCCTGTGTACTATAAAATCATTACCATATACTCACTTAATCAACTTGATGGCCAGGTTCTTGAGTTCTCCCATGGATGCTGCAGCAGCAAGAATTATTTCAAAACTTTTCCCAGACATCATTTTACATAGAAGACTGAACAACGGTTCCTGGTTTTTCTGGAAGTCTGTATCTAACGTCTGAATCAAGTTAAACATAATGAGACTATATTTGATCAGAATTTTGGGGGAATTATCAACATAATTAATTTCATATAATATCATATTCGATAAAACCGACCGTGAAAAACCATAATAAATCGTTAAACATCCATATCTCAGTGACTGATTGACAGATCTATCTCATATATTTTATCAATCAACAAAGATCTACAAAATTTTATCATTGATCAGAAAAAGTCTACAAAATTTAATCATCAATAAGCAAATATTTACAAAATGTTATCATCGATCAGCCACGATCTACAAAATTCCATTATTGATCAGCACAGATCATCAATCAAAAGAGATTTACAAAATTTTATTATTTCACCAGCAAAGCAAAGATCTACAAAGTTTTACCATCAATCAACAAAGATCAATTTTCAGCAAAGATTTACAAAATGATCAGCAAATTTGATCATCGATCAGCATAGATCATCAATCAACAAAGATCTACAAAATTTTATTATTGATCAGCAAAGATCTATAAATTTTTATCATTGATCAACAAAGATCAATTTTTAGTAAAGATCTACAAAATTTTGTCATCGATGAGCACAAATCATCAATCAGCAATGATCTACAAAAATTTATCATAGATCAGCAACGATCTACATAAGATCATGTTTGTAGACTTAGAATGAATTTGTAGACTTAGAATAAGTTTTAAGACTTTACATCATCTTAATGTTGTCATGGTTTGCCAACATGATCTTATATGTGAACTGAATAGAAATTAAATGAAATAGTATTTAATGTCTTATCCTTGTCACCATCTGGGCTAATAAAGGCCAAATTTTGCCTAGACAGCTGCGCAACAGCCTACTTTAATTTTGATTCTATATTAGACTTTCTATATTAGAATTATTTTAATGAAGAAACGGACATTACATGTATCTGTTACAATTAAGTAGTAAGCCAAGCAAGTGGATCAAATTCCTATGATAATGCAGTATTTACTAATATGAACATTGAGATTTTGTTCATGTGCATGTGAATAGAAATATTAAAGAAAGCTGATCTATTGTTTTAATGTGCAGTTTTCGAGTATGGACGACATGTATTGTCCAACGGACAAGCATACCAAGTTTTATGTCAATCATACATGAATTGGAGAGATTTAGGCTTTGATTCAAAAAAGAACCACACCATAGATCAACAAGATCCTAGATCCTGCTCCAATGATGCCAGGACAGCAGCATATCCGCCTGCTCTTCATTAAATTCCAACTGTCAAGGGTTCATTTACATGAATGCTAGCATGAGACCTTGGTTTTTCATCCCATCCCAATCACTAGACACTGTGCCTTTACAGGTCCTCCGTCTTTCACCACCGACAAGCAGAAATCATGCTGGAAAATCCTGGACAAATACCTGGATCGATTCCCAGACATCCTGGTTACTTAGCCAGCGCTTGATCCACTGAGCTACCATGGCTCCAATAAATTGTTCATACAGTAAAGTAACAAAAATTATCACCAGATATCTTTCACATCATTAATATGTGCACAGTATAAAAGACGATAGATTATGAATGAGCGATGTCATGCCGTGACAAATATATGGCGCAGATTTGGGATGGAATGGGATAAAGAAATAAGCTACAGACTATAACTATAAGCAGTAAACACTATAACCTGGATATTATTTAATCTTGTGTATTTAGCAATAATTTCTTTCATATTCATTCAATATCAAATCTTTGTTTTAAAAAACTCATAAAAATTATTTAAAATCACCAAAAATGATCTAATTTGTACTTGTGTCCAGTTTAAAGCTGACCATTCAATTTTGATAATGAGTGTCCAATTTACAAGCATTTAATTTCCTGACCACTGTTCAAAAATTATCGGTAATCGTTATACATCAATAATCAATTGGGTTTTTTATTTTTTAACAGTGATCGAGAAAGTAAACACTTGTAAATTAGACACTCATTATCAATATTGAATGATCCGCTTTAAACAACACACGTAGTACAAATTAGATGATTTGGGGCAATTTCAAACAATTTTTTTTCGAGTTTTTAAACAAAGATTTGATATTGAATGAACGTGAAAAAAATTGGTGCTAACTACGCAAGATTAAATGATACCCGAGTTATAGTGAAACATGTTAAAACATTTAAATAAACAATAACAAAAAAATACGATAAAGAATCAAGGGTGATTGTATTTACAGTATCTAATGTTATTGTTACTTATTCTATTACTGTTATTAATGCTGAAAAATTGGTTTCAGATATCAATATTGCTATTAAAGACTATGCATGATTTTAGAGCTATGGAATCCATTGCAAACTACAATATTGTGAAAGTTGAATTTCTAATAGCCTAGTAATAGGAACATCAGTCCAAATATTAGTTCAATTTTGTTTGATATTTAAAAAGGTATAATGAACTGAAATTCCCATCGGTCTGTGCTGCTCTCTAACAAACAAGATGATCGCCATCTTTATTTGCTGTGAACTGAATTGATGAACTTGTTTTAAATCCAAGCCAGGAGATTATCTAGCATTGGTAATTTTATTTTTTTGTTTTACTTTATTTTTGCTTTTGTAACTCCATGGTACACTATATCAGCTGCATAGATGGTACGCCTTTCAAGTGACAACCAATTTAAAAAAAACCTATTGTTCGGCTCAGCCGATGTCAAGATTTTAACCTAGGACATCGTAATCAAAAGTTCGGAGCACTGACCACTTGAATACTACAACCTAAATATTAACATCTTGTTAAGAGTAAAGTAAAAATTTAAGATGTTATTAAGGCAAATTTGTCACTAAAAAGCTTCTACAAACAGATTGTTGTTTGAGTGATATGGAAGGAATGTGTTAAAGGACAACGCAACCCATTGCATTTTTTAAATATTTCTATTTGTTATCTAGTTTTAAATTATTTTGAAGTGCAAATGATTTTACATTTAATATCACACCAGAACACTGGTTGTCATGAAGTGCAAATGATTTTACATTTAATATCACACCAGAACACTGGCTGTCATGAAGTGCAAATGTTTTTTCATTTCATATCACACCAGAACACTGGCTGACATGAAGTGTAAATGATTATGCATTTAATATCACACCAGAACACTGGGTGTCATGAAAGTTGCACCGCATAAATGAAATTAATATAAAACTGGATAATGAATCAAATATTATTTTAACAAATGTAAAGACTGACATTATCCTTTAAAATAGCTAGATCTCTTTGATTTGGGTCAAATGCAAGGTTTTGTGGCTTGACATTCTGTCTTTTCTCAAAATGTTACGAATATAAATAAAGCCAGTGATGAGATATCCATGTCGAACAATAATTCCAAGATTTATAGTAAAATTAGCAAACAAGGGAACATTTCCTCATTTCTCCGAGAAAAAAAACCATTTGATTGTCTCATCACTAATTTAAATAACATATCAGATTAACCCAATTGAATATTTTATCTTGACCAAAATAAAAGATGTTTAGCTACTTTCAGGTCTAAAAAGAAACACGCCACACCATTAAACATAAAAATAATCAGCAAATAAAATAAAATAAAATATACTACAGAAGCCAAATAAAGCAAGAAAGCACTGTGCCAAACAGTGTGGAAAACTACCTCTACCTTGAGAATGCTAGACACAGTAACCTCAGCCCTCAGTATAACGATGCTACTACATGGTACACCTTGGCTACTTTCAGTTTTATCTAGCAGACGTCCTCTTTCTTTTTCACTGAAAGAAATGATTTTATCTTGTTAAATTCCAATGTTCTTTAGATGTCTAATAATTCATATTAATGACATGCTCAATATAATGATATATTTCTTCATTTTCTTGCTGTACAATTAGCAGACATTTTAAAACATAAATTTACATTTAAAATATCATTAGACTTTATTAAGAATATCATTACTCTGTATTAAGAATACCATTAAATTTTATTAAGAATATCATTACTCTGTATTAAGAATACCATTAAATTTTATTAAGAATATCATTACTCTGTATTAAGAATACCATTAAATTTTATTAAGAATATCATTACTCTGTATTAAGAATACCATTAAATTTTATTAAGAATATCATTACTCTGAATTAAGAATACCATTAAATTTTATTAAGAATATCATTACTCTGTATTAAGAATACCATTAAATTTTATTAAGAATATCATTACTCTGTATTAAGAATACCATTAAATTTTATTAAGAATATCATTACTCTGTATTAAGAATACCATTAAATTTTATTAAGAATATCATTACACTTTATGAAAAATATCATTAGAAAAAAAGAGAAATTGGGGTTTAATGTCCACTTGAAACAAGCTAGATCCGTCCACGACTAACATATGGTTCAATTCTATTTCAATAATTTGCTTACACGTATGGGGTCTTTAGCAGTGGGAGTAAAATAGAGGACACAGAAAAAAAAAAATGAGTTTGATCAGGCGACCCTACTCCTTGTCACAGTTCAAGCGCAAGCAGGGAATCAAAACCACTGCACTTGACTTAATGACAAATCTTGTGATTTCACGCGCATGCATTAAACTACTAGAAAATCCAACCCCCCGCCCCTCCCTGGAATATCATTACACTTTATTAAGAATATCATTAGTCTTTATTCAGAATATCATTACACTTTAATCCAAATACCATTACACTTTATTAAGAGTATCATTACACTTTATTCAGAATATATACTATTCAAAAAAAGTAGGGGATATTTGATTTTGGGGGCATAATACTAAAATATGCAAATGACTACGAAAAAAGTCACTATAGAACCTAACAGAAGAAACATTTCCAGTTACATGTGACGCCCAAACGCACCAATAGCTACCGCATGGAATGCAGGTGATGCTTGGGTTCATCATGGGGGTCCAACCCAAGATTTGCACGACTCTGACTTTGAATGTTACAGTCATTGTGGCATTGAATTCCAGGGTGGAAACATCAGTTTAATTGTTTTAGTGACCAGAAAACAAATTTTGATATTTGCGTCGGCTTACCCAAAATGAAAGGTTACGTGCCCTTGGCATGCTACAGATCGGCACAACACAGGCGGTTGTGGCGCGGACGATGAATGTTTCTCAGTCTGTCATAAGCAGGCTATGGTCCAGATACCGTGATACACAATCTGTACAGGACAGACCACGCTCAGGTCGACCAAGGGCGACAACCCAAGCCCAGGATCGATTTATCCGTACCTTGGCCTTGAGAAATCGTGTCATCACAGCAAATTAGATCAGCGCTCGTCTTCAAACAGACACTGGTGTGAGAGTGAGTGGCCAGACGATTCGGAATCGACTGCATAGGGGTCACCTTCGCGCCCGACGTCCTCGCGTGATCCCTTGTTTGAGAGATCATCACATTCAGGCAAGACGTCGTTGGTGTAGGGATCGTCAACACTGGGATAATCGACGCTAGAGCAATGTGATGTTTTCAGATGAGTCAAGGTTCACTGTTGATTTTTTGGACAGAAGTAGGAGGGTGTGGCGTCGTCGAAACGAGCGCTTCCAAGACGTTAACGTCATCAGACATGATCGATTTGGGGGTGGTTCTGTTATGGTGTGGGGAGGCATCACTGTTGCTGGAAGAACGGCTTTACATGTTGTTGCAGGGCGTGTTACAGGCCAGTACTACCGGGACAACATCTTGGCAGTCCATGTTGTGCCGTTCGCACGACGTCTTGGCCGCCGTTTCATCTTCCAGGATGACAACGCAAGATGTCACAGGGCCAGGATCGTTACAGGTTACCTCCAACAACAGAACATAGCCACATTACCTTGGCCAGCACTGAGTCCCGACCTCTCCCCCATTGAGCATGTCTGGGACATGCTTGGACAGAGGTTACGTCAACGTCAACAACGTCCTGCCAATGTCCAAGAACTTGCTGCTGCGTTGCAACAGGAATGGGACAATCTGGACCAAAATGACCTTAGACGTCTCATTAGGAGTATGCCACGTCGGATCAATGCTTGTTTGGCAAACAGAGGAGGATTTACCCGTTACTGACTTGGTTGTGATGCTGTGGTAACTTTGCTGTTTGACCCCGGGTATCATTTTACCCTTATAATGGTCAGTCTGTGCCTTACTTAGTCTAACGATCATTTGGAATAAATCGATGAATGTGAACTTCATTTCATTTTGTCATTTGTTTCTTCGTCAGTTTCATTAGGTGACTTTAATAACACTTAAAAATCAAATATCCCCTACTTTTTTTGAATAGTATATTTACACTTTGTTCAGAATATAATCACACTTTGTTCTGAATATATTTACACTTTAAAAAAGAACATTATAACCCTTTCTAAAGAATTCAGATTTTGTTAATAATATCATTTTTGTTAGACCAGTGTTTCAAAAACATTCTGGGTCTGTGCTGGGACCTGTAGTGGTTGTATGACTATGGAAATGGAAGTAATGAGATAATGTCTTTAGTTCAAATCTCGACACAGACAACTTGTATAGTCCAAAATCAACTACAACTACTAGGACTATTCTAAGTTCAAATCTCAGCATGGACAATGAAACTTTTCAAAGTTTGATTCTTAGCATGGACAGGCACTTGACTGTTTAAAGATTGAATCTCAGCTATAGACTGTCTAAAGTTCAAATCTCAGCATCTACAACTAAATTTCATATCTCAGCATGGACAACTATAACATAGTTTGTCCAAAGACAGAATCTCAGCCCACATTCCCTAACTACATGACCATCTTGTGTACGACAGTAGCAAGATTAATAGGAATATATATTAAAGAGGTTATTTACCGTCGTTGCATGATACGTTGACTATGTACATCTTTTAATAAATCAGCTTTAATACAGCCTTGTAATAACTGTTCTATTGAATCACATCTACAATAAAAAAAATATAACATCTCAATTTCAACTAATAAAGATACATTATCATAGTCATATCTGACTAAATAAAATGAAATGAGGCTGACCTTAAAAATATCTTTGTTTCACCAAACCCGACCCACAATCGAGGAGAAGGGTCGGTAGGTCGGTTTTTTTTTCAGATTTTTTTTTAAAGTCAGAGAAATCAATACAGAAAACTTATTAGCTGTATACTACAGATTCATTAATTTTGTTTAATGAATTTGGGGTCTGACGTAAAAAGTAACGAACTGAAAGTTTTTATTAAACTTAAGAGCTAATTTGACAGCTTAATAATTTTCCGGGTGGAAACATTCGTCTTCTTTATTGGCAAACAAATCAATGACATCGGGATTTTTCGTGATGCCCGACTCGCACACGATTAGCCACGAACTTGAAGTGTGAAACTCCTTCAACACGTTTTTAACGATAGTGCGCGTTGTGCTTTCATTTTTCTCGAAAACGGATATTGAAAATATCGTCGTCATGTTTAAAACTACGCACCACAGACATAGAGGCAGAATTATTTCGTGGGAATGGACGTGTATTCGTCTGCAACCATTTTGTTGAGAAGCGACACCTATGACGCTTTCGTCTTGATCAACCAGTTTCAATAATGAATCAAACCATAGCCATAGTATAGGGAAATAACTCTCATGATATATTTCAGGTTGACACACAAAATAAAATAAAAAGATCGTGGAAAAGTGCAATAAAATAATTTAAGTCGGGGGTGGTTTTAGCTAGTCGGTCGCGTTAGGCGAAACAAAGATATTTTTAAGGTCAGCCTGAGGTTTAACATCTAACACTGCACACATATGTGTACACAAGACATCATTTTTTGTCCTGTCTGAATGACTAGACAGCTGTCCTTGTCTGGCCTTCCGTCCTGCACCACCAACAAGGGGAAACCACGCCGACAAATCCCGATGAACTTTCTCGGCCAGCATCTTACTCACTGAACCACCGTGGCTCCCAATTAAATAAAACCATAATGTTATTTAACGTCACTGATACCCATTTGGGGGTTTTTGAAGCATTTGCAAATTACAATAATGAAGACGAGAATTAACAAACTTTCCATTTTCCTATGTTGTTGCTGATCACAAAATATATAACGCTATCCCCATGTGCCTTGATAACCATGCCTAGATATTTCCCAATGTTATATAGTGGTAATTGATCGCCATGTTCATCAAGTCTCTTATAAAACTAAACAGTGGAATCTGAAACTTTCACAAATGGAATATGGGTTATTTCTTCACTTCAACCTAGTTTCATCAATGGATACCCTCTCAAATTGGCACGGTTAGTTTAATGTGCATATCCTAATCTGATTGGGAAATCTGTGTTCTATTTACTGTTGAGAACTTAATTTTAATCTAGTTCTATTATTCCCTGAAAACTTACTTTTTCTTTTGATCAGCTAAATCTAATAAATTAGTCGAATTTATAAGAAGTTCAAAACTCTGTTCTAAATCGGCCATGACATCTCGACCAGCAGCATTCTGTTGTAATCTCTGTAATATCTGTGGAATCTACAATAACAATGAACAAAGTATATGGAGAAATTAGATGAATAGAAAATTCTGGCTTGTAACAATAAATTTGCTAAGGAAGGTAAGCTATGAGGTAAACAGTTAACAAGAAAGTTACGAAAGTAATGTTAAAACGGGAAGAGAAGAATCATTCAGATAGAATGAAAAAATGAGATCCATCCCTATATATATATCCGCTAATATATACAATGCACATACAGAAAAAAAAATAACAACTACAATGTTCAATTAGGGAAATTTTGCTCTGACAGTGGCACTAGGGCCAACTCTAAATTATGAAATCTAACTATCAAGGCTTCTTGTACCTGCAAGCCAATATATGCATGAGACCTTAGTTTTTTGTCCCATCCGAAATGCTACATGGAATTTAGAATTTCACAGTAATTACTCACCTTTAGAAAAGTAAACGATGTCCATTTTAAATCTTCTGGACTGTTGGCAGGAGCATCTATTATTCCCATAAAACAAGCACGGAATAGTTCTACATATAACTGTGGCCATGATAGTTTCTGAAAAAACTGTACAAAAATAGTCAGCTATCAACCACATATTTCAGTACAGACTGATCAGTACATGATCTTCATAGATCATTACCAGAAACATACATGCCCTGACACAAAGAGTTTGTATAATAGTACTATAAAATAATAGAGTAGGTGTATCATTAGTGGGAAGTCAAAAGGTCATATCTGGCATATTTTATGAAATACACTTTCAGAATCAGAATTTTATTTCCACATCCTTTCATCTAGCTGTCACTATATGATGTGTGCCGCTCCATCAAGATGTTGCTATATGATGTGTGTGCAGCTATCTAGCTGTTGCTATATGATGTGTGCCGCTCCATCAAGCTGTCGCTATATGATGTGTGTGCAGCTCCATCAAGTTGTCGCTATATGATGTGTGTGCAACACCATCTAACTGTTGCTATATGATGTGTGTGCAGCTATCTAGTTGTTGCTATATGATGTGTGTGCAACACCATCTAACTGTTGCTATATGATGTGTGTCCAGCTTTCTAGTTGTCGCTATATGATGTGTGTGCAGCTCCATCAAGTTGTCGCTATATGATGTGTGTGCAACACCATCTAACTGTTGCTATATGATGTGTGTGCAGCTATCTAGTTGTTGCTATATGATGCGTGCCGTTCCATCAAGCTGTCGCTATTTGATGTGTGTGCAGCTATCTAGTTGTTGCTATATGATGTGTGTCGCTCCATCAAGCTGTTGCTATTTGATGTGTGTGCAGCTATCTAGTTGTTGCTATATGATGTGTGTCGCTCCATCAAGCTGTTGCTATTTGATGTGTGTGCAGCTATCTAGTTGTTGCTATATGATGTGTGTGCCGCTCCATCAAGCTGTCGCTATTTGATGTGTGTGCAGCTATCTAGTTGTTGCTATATGATGTGTGTGCAACACCATCTAACTGTTGCTATATGATGTGTGTGCAGCTATCTAGTTGTCGCTATATGATGTGTGTCGCTCCATCAAGCTGTCGCTATTTGATGTGTGTGCAGCTCCAGGTATTTTATACATATATTTAAGAAAATCTTTAGAAATACAACATCTTAATTTTACAATTTTGTAAAAGAACCACTATGTGTTTTTCAGAATCTCTTAAACAATTTAACAAAATCTGGATACAACCTTTTGACTCCGTAGTGATGGCATGTTAAAGATACATTAGTTAAGAGTTTAATAAAGAGTTGGTCATTCTTGCTATAATAATTCAAAAATAGATGATAAAAAAAGAAAATATTGAAAATTTCATTCAAATTACTTCATTCTCAGCCATTTTATCACTGTTTGTAGTTTTGACAAGATGTGTGCATAGTGGTAACCAGGGCACTAGTATATTCGAAACTTAGCCTCGCTTTCCAATTTTTTAATTAAATTTTTAAATGGCGAACAGTTCTAATCTAGTTAAAATCTTGAGTATCCGATGACATCGAGAGTTCATTATGGTCTTGTTTGTTAATAAATGTCTAATTAATAGTTCATATAACATTTCAGGCCTAAATAGGTAGATTTAGCTCTTGCATAATGTGTGTTTAAATCTCTTACCAATAGTCTGGCTATAACCATGGTTTGATCAACAAATGGTTGTAGTTCATTAGTAGAGTTAAGTACTGCCTCTAATGAGACAAGGGTATTTATAGTAGAACATAGTTGTAGTTTCGGACCATCATCATCATTATCACTAGGTAAATTCATATCTTGCAATCTAGAAATACACAGTTTTAATTATAGATAATTATCTTGTAATTTAGAAATAATCATTCGAGATTATAGATAAATACATAACGGTATATCCATAGACAGTTCGTAAAACTGTCATAAACCACTAAGATGCCAGAAACCCACTGTCAACTTACTCGGGAGGTTTAGGGGGTCTAAAGAGCAGACCAAGCACTATACTCTAGGATTAAAGGATGTCAATCATAGTAGTTTTTTTTATATAATTCATTTATCATTATCTGGTTTTAAATTAGTTTCAACCATACGAAATGCAACTTTATGCATATTGATTATTGTGTTACACAAGTAACTATCTTGTATACCACCAAGATTTGCACATCTGTCCTATCTGAACAATTAGACAGCTGTCCTTGACAAGCTCTCCGTCCTCCACCACTGACAAGGGGAAACCATACAGGAAAATCCTGATGAACTATCTCGACCAGGCTAGCGAGCCAGCATCTTACTCACTGAGTCACCGTGGCTCCCCTGGTTTAGAAGGGTCAATAGTTTGGGTGGTTCAAGTGCTACAGGGTTAAGACATTAACCCATAGTATCAGACTAATGTTCACTATATAGACTAATAACTTTCAAATAGGTTTAGTTGCTTTTCTGAATTTAATGAAATTTTGTAAAATAGAGAACTCACCGAGACAATGATCCTAACATTTCAGATACTTTATCTTTAGTAGTTGCTGGCAATGCATTCTGAGATTGTGATAACTGAGACAAAGTTCCTCTCACATTAACTTCTGCTTGTTCAAAATCACGATAATTATCTGAAATAAAAAAAAAACAGCAAAAATATAATCAATATTAACAAACATATATTTCTTTATGAAATTTTGTACATATATCAATCTATTTCAATAGTCATGCTTTAAACTAATTGGCCAACAATAAGGTGACCCATGTACTCACAGAAATACAGTCCACCGCTGATAGTTCGAGACTACCACTGAAGCGTGCACATTCGCCGTGCCGGGACCAACTTTCTGACAGTATGATACTATAAAAAGCCATGGCACGTGCAATTCTCTACAAATCTATCAACTATTACAGCCGTAAAAAATTTATTGTTGACGATTTTGAATAGCAGTAAAATTAAGCTTCTTGGTTATTACAGCAGATTTAGAAATTACGTTCGTTTCATTTTTTAAAGTGCTTTATCATTAACTGTACCGTTAAGAGCGGCATCTTTTGGTTTAGTACAAATAATATCTCTGAATTACTCGGGTTAGACAGGAAAATGATACTAGCAGTAGTTTCATTTTACTTTTACAAGCTTCTTAAAACGATTGTTGAGCTACCTAACATGCTTATTTCTTAATTCAATTTCTTGTTCTAGCTTTCTGTTATGTTTCGTAAAAAAGTAGTCTTGATTATCCCGACCTGTCAATCAGACGTAGAATGGTCGATAGACAGGTTAAGCGATTATGTTCCAATTACTAAATGCCACTCAAAGAATAACTAAGCACTGATTATTATATTTTTACCTGTGACTTCTGCTCTAGCTATCTGTAATAAGGTACAGACTGTCTGTTTCTCTAGAGTTTTAAGAACGGCCGAACTGGCACGATCTGTAATACTGACATATTCTGGGGTTGATTTGCCATCCTGTATTTTCTGTAGACATTTGAGAATGTTGTTTAGTAACCAATGAACTAACATTAACAGTGATTTACACATCTGTATAGAACTGTCTGTACCATAACTAAAACTGAACAAATTAAAACAAACAAATTTTAAATACATTTGAAAAAAGTCGACATGAGCACCCATAACTCAAAGCAACTAGTTGCAATCAGTTGCAGTCAGATGCACATGTTAAACTTTCTGCAACTAGCTGCAACTAGTTGCAGTCGACATGAGCGTTTTTGCAACTGGAGTTAACTCGTTTCCATGGAAATAACATCACGTGATAAGAGACATGTATCATGTGACTTTATAAATAATGATGTCGACAATAATATACTAACAGAACCATGCCTTTGGGGTGCTTCTTCTAAGTGATTTGCCATCTTGTTGATCACGTGATGAATAAATTAACAGTCACGTGTTCAGTGTGATCGACATAAGTGCTCCGAATTCAGTTGCTCCCAGTTGTCCTCAGTTGCTGATATGATCGACGTAAGCACTCTTGCAATGGACTGCAACTAGTTGCTTTGGGTTACAAAGTCGACTTAACCCCGCTTTAAAGACAAGATTGCAGGTATAAAGTACATGTATGTTGTATTTCAGTTCTTTGTAGACAATAGGTAGGAGCATTTGAATGTTATCGGAAATCGTTCAAAATGCTTCTTCAGGCTTCATGAACATAACACTGTCTATGAATTTCTAGTCCACTGAATGATACTTTTACACTCTAGAACATCCACAAGCAATTGGATAGAAGGACAGAGACAAAATAGCATACTTTTTACTCATTTAAAGATACATTATGGGAGATTAGATAAAGAGCTGGCAGTTCTCACTAAAATAGTTAAAAACTAGATACTGTAAAGGGAATTTGCTGAAAATTTCAGTCAAATTGATCTACTATAAACCGAGATTTTAGCGATTGAATTTTCATCCTAGCCTTGATCATCATTACTAAAGTCGGTAGGATAAAAAAATAACATAGTCTCGATTATAAATTTCATGATTTAATTATGAATGGAAGTCGAACAGCAAATCAGAATCTAATCCAATAAACAGCTCAGCCTAGCGGTGTCATCGAGAGTTGATTATGGTCTGGATAGGTTAATTAATGTCTAATTACTAATTTAGATAACATTTCAGGCCTAAAGAAAGACCTGCAATAGGTGCAGATTTAGCTCTTGCATAATGTATGTTTAACTGTCATAACGATTGGATTTTTCAGACATGTTTAATAGGTTATATCATCACATGTTGGTTTTTGATTTATGCATCTAAACCCACTGATATTTACTGTAGAATCTTAGACTATAATGATTACTAACCTGAGTTTAGTAGAGAATGTTTCAGCTATATCTATTAAAGCTATGATACAATATGGTTTAGATATATCATCATATGTTGATATATGTTTAAAAACTGTACTATGTGGTATCACCTGAAACATACATTATACCATCTAGAAAATTCAATCCTCGACCAGATTAAGAAGAAGAAGCCTGATTCTCACCTGTGGGGATGACAAGGAATGTGTGCCTAGTCATTAGGATAGTACGGAAAACCGAGATCCTATTGTGTACTCGTGGACATTCTAGTTGAAATAAACATGACAGTTGGAATTTGATATCCAGGCAAAATTCTCCAATTAAACATGTAATATATTATATGACAGCATCAAAATGAATGAGGTTAAGTAGCATTCCATTCCATATATTAGAACCGTCAGTGTTAGGCAGGGGTATCTCTGAATCATCAATGTTAGGCAGGGATGTCTCAGAATCATCAGTGTTAAGCCAGTGTGTCTCAGAATCATCAGGGTTAGGAGAGAGAGAGAGAGAAATGGGGTTTAACGTCCACTCGACACAAACTAGGTCATTTCAGGACTAACATATGGTTTAATTTTATTTCAATAATTTGCTTGCGCGTAAGGGTTTTTAGCAGTGGGAGGAAACCGGAGGACCCAGAGAAAACCCACGAGGTTGGACAGGCGACCCTACTCCTTTTCAAGTACAACCGGGGATTCGAAACAACGCCAGTTGACCCAATGACAGGCTTTACGATACAGCGCGCACGTGCTAACCATTCGGCTATCCACCCACCCCCCATCAGTGTTAGGTAGTGCTCCTATGACTAGTCGTATATATCTGTAAACGGTTAGAACTGGATGGTTAAACGGTTCGAATTCAACGGTACGGTTATTCGAAGATGTCCCCCATTATATAGAGTTGTGTCTGATTATATTCCTCTTTATAACAAAACTTGCCCGTTGTCATTTTGTATTTGATGTTTGAAAATCTTAGAATAATGTAACAGTCGTCCTACGATGTTGACTGCTAAATAATGATACTATTAATAGCACTCGTCGTAGTCATACGGCAAAGTCAACGGACCTTGTTCTGACTTTAGCTAATGTTAATCCAATCTAAATACTTCTCGGCATTTCTAACTATATTCTACCTTGTTTATTATTTACTTAAAAACGTATCCATCATTCAAAATATAATCATAAAGGATAGAAAATGACATTATACTAGATTCCTTACGACATTCAACACGTTTCATATCTCGTAATTTCTCGCAAGAATTCTACTTTGGTTTTTAGTTAAATTAACCAATCATAAAAATTCTACTTGCAAGCGAGGAATTAATTCTTTATTGTCCAATCAATAGACGTCTTCCAATTTACTTTATTCTATTCTTAGTAACATTGTGTAATCGTAATATTATCGCCATCTGTCACGTACGAAGGGAAACAGAGTATTGTTTTGTATATTATCGTAGATATATATTGAATTAAAAAATATTTCAAATGAACCAAGTTAACCAGGTAAATAAATAACTACGGCCTTAGATAGTTTAAATTTTCATTAAAGAATTCCTGAAATTTTTGCGCGTGTAATGCCTTTTAGGCGAGTATAGCGTGCGCATGAGTAATGACTCGCACCTCCTGACAAGCTGTTTTATGTTTAAAATTGATACCATACAATTAACGGTTACAAACCGGTTAATAGCTACGGCTATTCGAAAAACAAAAAGTCCTAACCGTAGGAGCACTAGTGTTAGGCCAGTGTGTCTCAGAATCATCAGTGTTAGACTGGGGTGTCTATCATCAGTGTTATCAGTGTTAGTAAGCAGGAGATATATCTCGGAAAAGTAGTGAATTGAACAATTGAATATCTATAGTTGGTAAAATAGCTGATAACAAAATTACACACTATTACATATTTATATCAAATTTAAGCTTGCTATATACAAGAGGATCTGTAATGATCTAAAGACTAACCTGTGATAATACAATATGTTTTAGATAAGATAAAACCAGTGAATTAGGACTACTTCCAACTAAAGCCTGCTGTAGTAAAATTTCTGAAAAGAGAACATATTTACTTTAGTATATAATTCAGATCATTAATACATAAACTTTTAATGTATCTAAAAGTCATAAACGCACACAATGATATACATGTTCTTTGATCTGACCTAATCTACCAATCTCTAGCACCTCGACTGCCTAAAATGAGTCACTACTCACTAAGGTCTATGTAGAACTCATGAAATCAGTTTAACCTAAAACATTAGAATTTCTATTTTTTAAAATTGTATAATTACTTCTTTGTGCTATTTTTTGATTGTTAATAAATTAAATCATCATCTTTAATATAACTGATACACACGCTCACTTTTGATGTTTATTAATTATATAGTGTGAACCGATTTCTATAAATAGCTATTTTCATACACATGTACAATCACTATTGATGTTTATTTGGCTAGTGTGAACCAATACATATATACTGATTCAAATAACTATTTTAAAATAAAAAACAACAATATCTTGTCAATTTGAAGTTAACAAAATATGTCCATTACAATTTGATCTCATTCTCCATTACAATTTGATCTCAGACTCTCCATTACAATTTGATCTCAGACTCTCCATTACAATTTGATCTCAGACTCTCCATTACAATTTGATCTCAGACTCTTCATTACAATTTGATCTCAGACTCTCCATTACAACATGATCACAGACTCTCCATTACAATTTGATCTCTGGCTTTCCACTACAGTACTGTGTATGTGTGAACTTTTCTTGTATATATTCATTACTCACCTGCCAAGTCAACACCTTCATTAGAATTTGTTGCTAGTATACGTTTGAGATGAACTCCCCACTGTACCTCTGACCATCTTTCTGTCCACGCTCTCATCAATGTTAATTTCACCTGATTAGCTAGACCACTGCCAATACCTGGTTCTTTTTTAATGGTTGTAGTAGTTCCCTCCATTTTAATGGTCGCCATACTTTAACCTAAAATAATAAATACATTGAACAGTTGACACTACTACCTACTTTTAATGCCCCAGGGCAATAAATAAAAGGGGTCCAACATCTTACTTTTCAGCACCAGCCAGACTAATGAATCTAACACATCAACAGAACACAGTTTTTATGGGGAAACGTCTGAACAAACACTGGTTTAATTCTAAAACCACAATGTTTCAATCAAGTGCTTGGTAACGATAAGAGGATATTTGTTGAAATGTTGTGCTTTCAGAATAAAACCAATGATTGTTAACCATAAAAATTGTGTTCTGTTAACAGGCTAATGAAGACGGTCATATGTCATACAGTGTGTTATATGGGAAATTTTGATTTCCAACTGCAGGTTCAATAGCATACACAAGTGAGCTTGTTTATATTCCCATCTGAAGCTACATTGTACATGTCAGGTCCTCTTTCTTGTACCACTTGCATTCTGAAACCATCATTATTTGAGTAATAATATCGCAAGGTGAACCTAATAGGGGCCAAATGTAGCTAAAACAGATGCATTAAATGTTTAAATACCAATGCAATGATTTAGCTTCATAATGTACAATGTACATTCTTGTATCTATACCAAAGGGTGAAAAGCTCTGTTCTTTGGAATCTAAAAATGGATGAAAACGGTGTTAAACCACATATTTCTTTAGGTCTAAAATGTTATATAAACAATTAATTAGACATTTATTAACATGACAAGACCATATTCAACTCTTGATGCCATCGGATATCTGTGATATTAAGTAGATTACAATGGTTCAGCCAATATGGTGGTGCAATTAATGCACACATCTTGTCAAACGTTCAAAGACTAAAATCTTCACTCGCAATAGAGCAATTTGAATAAGAATTTTCAATATATTAATTTTGCATTATCTATTTTCGAACTATTATAGCAAGAATGGCCAGCTCTGTGTCTACTACTGACATATATAATGTATCTTTAATGTATGGTAATTATGAAGGTTTTATGTTTGACAAGTCAGCTTCACACTACATGGGCAATGTCTATATTATGAGTGTGTTATAGAGTGATTTACATCCAATTTTTAAAAAAAAATATTATTGTAATTTCTATTCAATTTTGACACTGAGAAATATGCAAACAGTCCAAATTGTATGCATGGTAGCTGTTGACATCTGCTCAGTCCGTGGTACACGTTTGTGTTATTATTTGTAATTTGGTCGATAGTGAATCAACCATTTCTAATCCTTCAAGTTACTTTATGTATTGTCTTCTGGGATAAGCAGCGGCAGGTCCTTGCCTTTTCATTTTCGATAATCAATCATGACATAATAAATATTTATTTCCTGAGACGAGAGTCTACAATGATAATAAATGCGATTTCTACGAAAGAAAAAAGATTTGTTTCGGTATTTTCTATTGTCATTAGCTATTATACAAAACACATAATTAAATACCATATGAATCTACCATCTGTTACTTGCTGATTGTAATATCTATTCGTAAAAAAACCAATTTCTTTGTTTTCAATTTTGCTTTTCATGGGCGCCGCCATTAAGCATTTCCGCACTAAATATATATTTTATAAATACAAAAATCTAATTAATAACCCTTTCCTTCATTTAGTAGCAGTGTTACAATATTATGATATGAACAAATAATTTTTTTCTTTTTAAGGCCAACTAATAATATTGATTTCGTAAACTTTTTACGTTGTAATTTTTATACTTCCGGTTTACGGAGCAAACCTAAATCGAGCGGAGAAAAGGATTCCTTGTTTTACTGAAGAAATGCAAATAATGTGCAAATTTATTATTTGATAATTGGAATCGATTAAAGAGTACCTAATTGGAGCTAATAGTCCTTTGAAAATGGAAGATTCTATAAACCACCAGGATGTCAGGTTCAGTAAACGTTTACTTTTTTTCTCGTAGTTGAGATACGCTGAATCCTTACGGTACCAAATTTCTACCACCGACAGTGAGTCCTTAAGAAAATTTCTATGTAGGAAAGCAAAATCGGTTAAATTAACAGTTTATAGAAAAATACTAAAACACCGACATTGCATCTGGGGGGCTGAAAATTACCTAATTTACTAGCATTCCATTATTAAATTAGATACGTCCTAAAAATCGGACAAGACAAGTAGAGTTGTCTCCCTTCAACTTATATGTTATGACACGGCTCCCAGTTGAGTTTTTTTTTTCTTTTTTTTTTTTTTTTTGCGGTCTTTGACCATTATACCAATTTTCATTCTAAAAGACTTCACTACAACTAAATAATAATACTAAGTCACAAAGAAAAATAGGCAACAATTTGAAATACAAGACTCAATCAGAGATTGGGCAAGTTTGCTTGTGGATGAGTTAACCTCACCTGCGTCTGTAGGATGTACCACTTTCCAAATTTTTGTAACAAAAATAATCTCTTATCCTCAGTCATATCTTGATGTTTCTAGCTTATGTCATGTACAAATTTAGTGTGCGTCAATCTCACCAATTCCTCATTAACCCTTTCAATGCTAGACGTAAATCCACTGCCTGTGCTAGACCCTTTTTTGAGGAAAAAAGGGAGGTTGGAACTGAATGCCAAGCAGTACTTATGGAAGCTTTTATGAAAAATCTTTTTGTCTGTTGGGATGGGCATGAGGTTGGGCTAAGAGGAAAAAATAGAATTTTGGAAATTTGCATAATAATGTAGTCACGTGACGTCATGGCGGCCATTTTGGATTTCTCATTTCACACTAAAGCTAACACGAAAACGAATTTTTCTCCATGAAATACTTAAAAGATATAGGTTTTTTTACTGGATTTTGATAAAGATATATAAAATGAACAAAAATATCAATAGCAGCCATGAGCAATGCCGCCGCGAACACGCGCATCACGTCTCCCGCTGCCATGACCACGTGCGGATTGAAATACCTTGTTTTTACTTTCACTTTCGTCCCCAAGTCCCATATCATTATCAATATAGTCAGTCAATAGATCTACACGTTCGGGAATCAGGAATTACCTGCGTATTTTACGATCCAGCAGGCCAGCATTATTATCAACATCAGAATTATTGTCAGAATCTACTCCAGACACAGGGCTATCGTGTTCACATTGGGCTTGTTCATCATGCACGGGAGACATAGCTAGCCATGGGCGGAACGTCGCGCAACAAATCACACACTTCATAATACCAATCACTGTCCTGACTACTATCATTATCAAGTAACTGGAAACGAATTATGTGTATCACCCGCCTCGAAATTGTCCACATGTTGGTCAGTAAGACGTCATTCACGACTTCGTCGAGAGTGCATCGTCTACGTTGTCACAATGCACTCCGCCATTTTACGGTTTGCTGCTTTGAAACACGTGGAAATATGTTCTAGTGTATAGAAAATACAATAGATGGCACTTGCAGTTACGGTACTAATTTTAGCGAGGGCTTTACTGAGTACACGGTAATACCGGGTACGGGCATTTTACCGACATTTTATAATACCCGGTACTACCGGGTATACGCAGTGAAAGGGTTAACAACATGAATTCAAGACTAAAAAAAAGCCCCCCCCCACCCCTGCAAACTAAAAATATAGTCTCACAGCATAGTCCTTTCGGTCCACCCCTGACCGGATACAACTGCTCTGATGTACAATATCATTCTATTTTTTAGTCATACAGAATATGCCACCATTGAGGGGTCACAAGTTACAGAAATGATTCCAATAACATGTACCAACATAAATGGCAATACCCACATAGCAACACTAACGAGTGGAACTTCAGAAAATGCAACTGGAGAAATGGATTCGTCAGAATGGGCAACCATAGCTACAGACAACAATACCTTGATCTCATTTCGTTCTCTACCCATCCATCTAGATCAGTTAGATGCCCAGACACAGTTGGCCATACGTCAGAATTTGAGTGAAGATCCAAATAATGTAGGTCAAACTATCATGACCTATGACCCTGTGAATACAGTACCAGTTGTTACCAACAGCCTGGACATGATTGGTCAGAAAACTATCGTTGGTATGTAATCATCAATACAAAATATACCCTTTCCAGTTATGGTAAAATTGAATTGAAATGTTAAAGGGGTTTACAGTACATGTATTACTGTTCCGTACCAACCAGGCTAGGAGAGTTGGGTGGCTGAATGGTTTAACGTATGCGCATTATATCATAAGGTCTATCACTGAATCAATTGATTTGGTTTTGATTCACTGACTATACGTGACAAAGAGTAGGGTTGAGTGTCCAACCTTGTGGGTTGGCTCCCACAGCTAATAACCTGTACGTGCAAGTGAATTATTGAAATAAAATTGAAACATGTTAGCCCTGAAATGACCTAGTTTGAGTGACCATGCTGATGACGACAGGCATGCATGTAGTGTACCACGAGGGTAAATTTTTTCACGGTCAGTTGCGGCTTACTCCTATTTAAATTTCAATAGATGAGGTTTCTTTTGCATGCTGTTTTGTTTGTCCCATCCGAATGACTAGAAGCTGCCGGGAAACTTTCTCGACCAACACCAGCATCAAACCTGACACAGCTTGGTTAATGGGCCTTACTACTCATCTGCATTGGCCGAGAAAGTTCATCCAGATTTTCTGGCGTGGTTTCCCCTTATTAGTGATGCAGGACGGAGGGCCTGGCAAGGACAGCTGCCTAGTTGTTCGGATGGTACGAAAAACCGAGGCCCCGTGTACATATTGGCGTGCACGTGAAAGATCCCTTGGCAGTTGGAATTCGATATTAGAGTAGGCCGTAGTGCCGCTGCCTGGGCAAAATTTCCCTCATAGCACATTGTATGGCGTATGCCCGTCTTCATTAGCCCAGTTTAGGAGCAGGACAGTAGGACGTTAATCCCCATTTCATTTCATTTCATTTCATTAGCCCAGTCGGTACAGAACAGTAGGATGTTAAATCTCATTTCATTTTCTCTCTTGTTGTTATAGGTAGTGATCTAGTGACGCCATCCACACCATTAGAGAATGAGATGAGTTTATCACATGGTACTGTTTTATTATTACAAGATGATAAACATACTGATGGTATATTACCACATGTGTCAGTTGTCAATCAAGTTAATATGGGAGATTATTCAACAAACACTACCAACCTTCCACCACCTCCGTGTTCACTGGTATGATATAATTATATTCTATGATCTTAGACTCCCCATTACAATTTGGTCTCTGATACTTCACTGTAACTTTGTACCAGACTCCCCATATCAATTTGGTAACAGACTCACCATATCAATTTGGTACCAGACTCTCCATATCAATTTGGTACCAGACTCTCCATAACAGTTTGGTGACAGACTATCCATATCAATTTGGTGCCAGACTCACCATATCAACTTGGTGCCAGATTCACCATAACAATTTGGTTCCAGACTCTCCATAACAATTTGGTGTCATAATAATTTGGTCTACCGTCTGACTCTCCATTACAATTTGGTGTGATTCGCTTTTACAATTTGGTCTGACTAGCTATTGTAATGTGGTCTGACTCTCCATTTATTACCATTTGGTTTCAGACTCCCTATTACAACTTCGTCAAACTCTCCATAAGAATTTGGTGTCAAATTCCCCATCATAATTTGATCTCTCACTTCCCATTATAATATCTTATTTTTGACTGTGTAATTCACGTTCAAATTTGCTAAAACTGATAATATTTAATTAAGAAAGCAAAATTAAAATAGCAACGGTATTGTTTCATCATTGTTGCATGATCACAGTATAAATCTGTCTACAGCCAGAAACAATTTTTTTTTTTCGTTTTACTAGCCTTCACGACACTAGAATTTGTGGAAGAGTTCTTATATAACCTGATGAAATTGTCTGTTGTTGCGAGTTCTTGGCATTGGGTGCACGGAACTGTGTGTATACCTAGCAGTGAAGGCAAAGCATTTCCAAAAACCCACTTGAAACATTAATACTGATTGGTTAATCAAATGTCTAGCGTCATAGGGTCAAAAGTCACTCGTATGACCCCTAACGCGACTCCCACTCCAACTGGTCAGATCTTCATGTAGTGAAGGGGATCGAAATTATAAAAAAAAAAAAAAAAAAAAATATAGATCTGTATTTAATCAGTTTGCATTTTTATTTGATTTTGATTACTGTTAAAGGTTAACTTGAGTACATTACATAGAGGATATTTGTCGTTTTAGAGTGAATAACATATTTTATTTCATTGAGAAGCAAGAAAACTTATATTTTCATGAATGCACAGCATGAGTGAAAATATAAACATTTTCTTGCTTAGAGATGAAATAAAATATGTTATTCACGACAAAACGACAAATGTTCTATTTATTTTATGATTTTACAATCATTTTAGGTAAAAACAAATGGCCAGTGGAATAACACTTTTATTTCACTGATAAAACGCGGTATTCCACTACTGATCATAAAATAAAGGTATATATTTGATATAAGTTCAAATTATAATTCTTTACCTACAGGTCTTTTGTCGTGTCTCGGCTACCATATCTACTGATGTTATAGAAAGAATACCAAATTACGAATCTCTCATTTGGATGGAAATTCAAACAGAACCAGAAGTACAAATGGAAATGTCTGAACAACATCGGTGTACCATATATGGAAGTTTAGATATTATCATTAAATTAAACAATAAACTACAATCGTTGCTGAACGGGGAGGGTGGTAAATGTTTTGTACAGAAAGAACCAGAGCCAGTAAAAATGATGTGTGATACTCAAGCTCAGTGTGATTTATTAGTACCTCACATATCATCTCGTGGTCGACAAGTTCATCAACCTTCTAGATATACAGGTAAGGTCTTGTAGATATACAGGTACAATCTTGTAGATATACAGGTAAAATCTTATAGATAGACATGTACAATCTTATAGATAGACATGTACAATCTTATAGATATACATGTACAATCTTCTAGATAGACATGTACAATTAGATGTGTAGGTAATATCTTCTAGATAGGTACATGTTTACAGATAAAATCTTCTAGACAGGTAAAATCTACTGCCAAATAAGACCGTCATGCTCCAACAATCACTCATATGCTGCGACTTATCACCGTAAGCGACCGCATGAAATCTCCTGTGCCAAATTTAATTCTATTAAGCTTTCGCTCCTACCATGCATCCATTTTCCCTTGTAATTGGGGAAGGAGCCACAGTGGCTCAGTGATTATTTACCACTCACTTTCCAAGGGGTCTTGGGGTTGATAAGTGTGGTTTCCCCTGTGTGCACATAAAAGAACCCTTGGCAGTTGGAATTTGTCAAAAAGTTGACAGAAATGCTGCTACCCATGCCAGATTTCCATGATAATACACTTTATTAACCCCTTTTGTCACAGAAATGTAGGAAGATAACCCATTTCAGTTCCTAATTGGTGAGCTGTAGTTTGGATGGCAGTTCAAGCTGAGAAGAACTATCAAGAATTTTCAGAGAGAGCAATGAAGGCCTTGTTCTTCCTGGTTTATGCCATTATTATGAAATTAAAATTGGCGCTAATAAATATGTGTTTAACTCACAATAATCAGTGACCTGTTTTTACAATTGATCATTGCAGGATTTTACAAGGATCCAGTTAGTGATATAGATATTGATAGTGATGAGTTCATGGAATCTAAAGAAAGAAGAAAACCTCGACGTAAATTAACTAAACCTGTAAAATTACAGGTATTGTTGAAAGATACGAAAAACAACAATGATACTGCTAGTGATCAGAATAAAGGTTAGTCAAATAATTTTTCATGATCAACAATAGCATGGTCTGAACAATAATCATTGTTTTGAGCTAGAAGAATTATTATTGTAGTAGAACCAGAACTGATCCCTGGGGGACACCAGCATCTTTTGTTAGAATTTCTCTAATCCAGTCTCGTGTAGTTTTACAGTTCCAGTTCTGACAGTCCTCTATTGCTACATTGTTTCTGAACTGATCAGATCGTCTGGGATTGATTCTCTGCATGGGCCAAGAAGAATCGTCAGGGTTTTTTTAAACCCAGTTCTCACTTGTCAGGGATGGTACATGTACTTGTGGAACCGAAAAAGAAAGATGGAAATGCTACTGTTTGGGCACCCACAACAATGGATCTGAAAATTATTTCATAGTCTCGAAGAATTGAATTGACAAGACTTTAAACCTTGTCTCGTTCCTCATCTAATTGTGTTGAGTGGATGGTAAACCTTTCACACATGACACAATCTGATTAAAACACAGTGCCCTTATTCACGAAAACTTAATCTAAGATACAATCGAAATTTTAAGAAATACTGCAATTCGATTGGCTGACCAATATGCAAATTGGATATATGCAAATTGATTTTACTGGTCAGCCAATCGAATTGCAGTATTTCTTAAAATTTTGATTGTATCTTAGTTTAAGTTTTCGTGAATAAGGGCCCAGATCCTATTTCGTTTCGTTTTTATAAGTCAATATTTCATTTTACTTGTCTTTACTACACTATGATCTGGAAAAGTTGTTATCATTGACGTGTTCTGAATGATGTGAGCTATTAGCCAATGAAATGATCTGTTACGGCGAACTTTAGGTGTGTTTTGCATGGAACTGTAGGTAATCCAATAGTAACATCAATGCTGATTGTCTGACGTCGTCGTAGTTTTAAAAGCTGCTCGTATGACCTCTGACGCAACCTATAGCTACAACCGGTCAGATCTTCATATAGTGTAGGCCATCGAAAGTATAAAAAAAAACGAAACAAAATATAGATTGCACGTGGCATATAATAATCACAATACTTAATTATGGTTCTTTTTTTTATCAGTTGCAGAATTTACCAATAAAGCTTACAAGTATTCGTGTACTATCTGTTCATTTAAAACTGTTCGCCCAAGTCACTACAAAAAACATCAACGAATCCACGAAAGTCGTAGCGTAGAACTTTTTAAGTGTAAGAAGTGTACGTTTGTCACGATACGATTGAGTCACCTGAATCGCCACGAGTTACAACACAGTACAACTGTTTATCATTGCGATTCATGCAACTATTCAACCAATCAACAGTTCTATCTGTCCCGACACAAGCGTTACAAACATCCAGCCACGAAAAATGTTTTCTCTTGTACGACGTGCAATTTTCAGACTAACCTACGCAGCAGTTACACTAGACATCAAAAAATTCACGCCGCACCAGTGACGAAGAAAATGTTCCAATGTCAAAGTTGTACATATAAGACCGACGTAAGTGCCCGGTATCAGCGACATCTGAAGCATGTTCACGGGGATGCTCGACCCTATCTTTGTGATCACTGTGGGAAAGCCTTTAAGAGAACAGACACACTGAAAGCACATAAAGTTACGCATCTTGCCAGAAAGGATCGAGTTCTACCCTTTACTTGTGAAATTTGTTCCAAGGGTTTCAGATCAAAAGTAAGTAAACATTTCTCTGGTTTTTAAATGTGGCATAAAATGGAAAAGCACATTGTCAAAATTTAATATTGACACCAAAGTCATAAAAAAAATTTATCTCAATCCTTGCATACAATCTAATTCGACTATCCCCGATATAACTATAAGTACTTGGTTAAATTAAGATAAATCGAAATTTATTTTTATCAACCGCCGAGGACCAACGAAGAATTTTGTACCTTTTCATTGTGAAACTGATTAATCGTTTCTGGAATTTCCAAATTTTTTGATTACTTCAGATACAAATATCTACAATGTTATACTTTTTTGAAAACGTATAAGTGGCCAAGACATCTGTCCCCTTTTCTGTCCTAGTACTCTGGTGTCTCAGTGAGTAATACGCTGGTTCGCTGACAACGCTGTCTCAGGTTTGATCCCGGTGTTAGCCAAGAAAGTTTCTCAGGATTTTTCGGCATGGTTTACCCTTGTCACTGATGCAGGTCCAAGGGCCTTTTGGGGATTTTTCATCCAAGTGCTAAAGCAAAGAACTACAATATGTGGTTGGGAAATATACCGACTGTGTTCATTTACACTCAGTATTTGTATAAACAGTGGCATGCAGAGAGGGCAAAGGTTCTGGGCAAGCCAATCAAAAAATGAAATTGAAATTAAAAGGTTTTTTAAATTTGAGTTTATCGCAGTTAATTTTAGTTTAAAATGACTTTCTTTCTCACTTTTCTGAATATTAGGCTCCATTTTTGAGCCTTGAGGACATACAGTAATCCCTGGGCATCTCCAAACCTCTGCACAATGCTGTATATAAATTTTCTGTTAGCTTTTAATTAGCAAGGGATGGATTTAGTTAGACCAATGTCACAATGTGACTTATTTCTCTTTGATGCAAGAAAGTGATTATTTGTTAAGTAAATGAAATGGGGATTTAACGTCTTACTTCTCTACCACAACTGGGCTAATGAAGACGCAACTGGGCTAATGAAGACGGGTATATGCTGCACTATGAGGGGGGATTTTATCTGGACAAGTCATTCTGCACAAAGAGATCCATCTACATGTAACTCAAACTTCGAGAATAAATCTCTGTAATGCGGTTCTATTCCATTTCACATCTGGCATACACACAAAGATGACATGTAAATAAACCTATTCAATTCCATTAAAGGGAAGCAGAATAAATACTTCTAAAATTTCTTAAAGTATACTTCGTGTTTTTGACTAAAATCGTTGATTTAGGACTTAAAATGTTGGTCAACTAGCTTAGAATCTGTTCTCAAACAAAGCTAACTGTAGACCAACAGTCAAAGTTTAGATGGGCAATAGTGCTATGGCATGGCCTACTCTTATTTGTATTTTCAACTGTCAGGTGATTTTAACCATCCTCGGTATCCCCAGTTGTTTCATTCCGTTCTACTCCACTAACCCCTTGGTTAATCTATGGGGGAGACACGTTTTCAAATTATTCTCTCTTGATTATTGTGCTATTTTTATTGACCAATCCCATGCATCGTTAATTGAAAAGGAAGTTGCCAAAGGGAAATAAATCTCATCGGAAAAGTTTAGGAGTTAGCCTAAATGAGAGAAGTTTAAACTATTCTAAATACGTACAGTACTTACTAACAAAAAATTATATAATATGAAATTAATGAAAACAGGACTGAATTGCCAAGTATAAGTTCAATAATAATAAACATAACAGAATGAAACATTTCAGATAAAGAACGAATAGTAATAATAATAACAAAAGTCAAACATATAGATGTTATACATATTTGAAACCAGCAAAACATACTACATATTTTGATAATACAATTAATTATAAATGAATTAGAAATATATACATTATTTACATAAATCATTCTGTAAATGGACATGAATTTGGTTAATTACTCTGATAAAATCGAAGGCGAAACGTTCGTAGACCTTATCTACAATCAAGGCCCGGGCAGATAATTTGAAATCGTAGAAATCCTATGGATTAACCCAGGGTAGTGTGGATTAGAACGGAATGAGTACACTGGGGATACTGAGGATAGATTTTAACATGCTGTGTACGTTCTTTTGTCGACTGTGAGTTAAACCCCACTCTGTCTCACTCAATACAATTGAAATGCAATTGTACCAAAGTGACATATTTTTTGTCGAATGGGCGTTAAACCTCATCTCTCTAACTCAAATATTTTATTTGTAACTAATAATAGTAATACTAATATAATTTATTGTAATTTTTTTTTTAACAGGCGCACTTAAAAGAACATGAAATATCCCACAAGCAAGAACGTCCTTATCTCTGTCACTTATGTGGTTCGTCTTTTAAGACTCAATCCGTACAGAAAAAACATATAGCGACAATACATCTGAATCCTCGATCATACACGTGTCATCTATGTAACAAACAGTTTAACACATGTTTTACGATGAGACGACACAAAAAAATACACGATGTCGTAAAACAGGAGACAGAACAAGTTCTAACTTTATCTGAGTGCAAGAGCGGATCCTTGGTTGTTCCAGATCAAACAGGTCAGCCTGAACAACCATTGGTTCAAGATGTGATTGGCGTTTCTATGGAGGAAACTTTTGACCAATCAGGTGATGGATTGAGACAGTCGTTCAGTATGCCATCCAATGAAGCTACTACTGCCTTGTTTTATTTAAGTGAAAACCTACCCATATAAATTGAAGTCTAGTCAAATTGACAAATTTTTAAATTTATTTATTTATTGATGATTGATTATACAGATGTAATTTTATAAAATATTAATAATGTCCTATAATGCAATTTAAATATATATCTCTGCTAGCAATCAGGAATGTTAAAATATTCATTTTCATGTTGGCTTGTTAGCCAGGAGATCCCGGTTACAATTCTGGTGTAAGATGTTGGCTTGCTAACCAGGATATCCCGGTTACAATCCTGGGCCCTGTTTCTCGAAATCTTAACTAAAGATAAAATCCAAATTTTAATAGATATCTCAATTTTGATTAGCTAAGCACTAAAATCAGTCTAATATTATCCAATTAAATTACTAAAATTTGGATTTTATCTTAGTTAAAATTTCGTGAAACAAGCCCCTGGTGTAGACCTAGAAAGTTCCTCTGGATTTTCTGGGGTGGTTTGCCATTGTTGGTGGTGTAGGACTAAGGGTCTAGCAAGGAATAACCTCTTATTATTATTATTATTATTATTATCATCACCATCATCATCATTATTATTATGTGCTTATATTCCACAAAAGTCATGCTACATTGTATTAAGCATTACAAATCATCATCATCCTCATCATTATTTTGGGCTTATATTCCACAGAAGTCATGTTATTAAGCTTTACAAATCACCATCATCATTATTTGGGGCTTATATTCCACAAAAGTCATGCTCTAAAGCACTACAAAATAGATGAAGAATCAAACAGCTGTATAATGATACATAAACTAAATGTGCATACCACCTGATACATTAGATGTGACATTTAAAATAAAATATCGAAATCAGTAATAAGGGCTTAACGTCAACTCGGTCATTTCGGGACAAGCATATGGTTCAATTTTATTTCAATAATTCACTTGCGTCTAGAGTTTTTTTTAGCAATGGAAGAAACTCATAGGACACTGAAAAAATCCAAAAGGTTAGACAGGCGACCACACTCCTTGTCACGTACGAGCGACGAATCAAAACCACGACATTTGACAGACCTTAACATGCATGCATTAAGAATTCGGCTAACCAACCCCCAATTACTGTATAAGCACTACCAGGACCATCTTTACAGCATTATAGACCCCGGGCAAAACAGGGGGCCCCTACCTACACAACCACTCACATTAATAAAAATGTAAATGGTTGACAAAATTAAACACATATTTAATTGTATTGGTACAATGTATAGCAAAGTTGAAGCCCCTTAGATTGTGGTGTGCCACAATGGCTCAGTGAGTAAGATCCTACCTTACTAATCTGGAGGATGCAGGTTCGCTCTCGGTGTTTACCGAGAAAGTTCATCAAGATTTTCCAGCATGGTTGCTCCTTGTCAATTGTGCAGGATGGTGGGCCTGACAAGGACAGCTCTCTAGTTATTCGGATGGGACAAAAAACTGAGGTCCCATATACACATTGCCGTGCAGGTAAAAGAACACTCAACCGTTGGAATTTGATATAAATAAGAGTGTAAGCCAGGCAAAATTTCCACCCCGGTGATGGCCAGCATAGTGCTGCTGCTGTTCAAGGCACAATTTCACTCTTAACACAATGTGTGGCGTATGCCCATCTTCATTAGTCCAGTCGGAGCAGAACAGTAGGATGTTAAACCCCATTTCATTTCTTAAGCTCGTGGGGTGTCCGTGCAGCCACCCACTCCCGTCTTGGGCTTCTCTTTATTTAAATCCAGCACTGCCTGTATTGTCTTTCATTACTAATTAACACCAAATTGCTTTATATTTAGTTGTTTATGCTATTGTACCCAATATTTTTATAACATTGTTTAGTATTTCACACCACACATCTCAGTCTAAAGCAGTTTGTTTTTCTTATGAGTAAAATTGTTATTATTTATAGCTGATCATGGTATAGCATTTATATAAATAAATTGTTGTCATAGTTTATGTTTTAAATTTGACTCTCTTTGAAAGTACACCTACATGTTTGTCTCAACACGTAATACCATTTCCCAATATTGGAGCAATGTTTTGTTGTGGGCTCTGGTGTACTGGTCACACAGATCATTGCATGAGCAATGCCTAATGGACTGCCACCGCCAGGTAATCTATGGGTGTCTGTACTGGATACAAAAACTGCTGGAAAACAATTAGTAGAAGAAATATGCCCTATAGTGGGTTTTAAGACCTAGTCCCTACGGGTATTTACGGGGGCTGATTAGGGACATGAAAAATAATTTTCATTTATTTTTTTTAATTTTCATGCAACTGATTTTTAAAGGTAAATCAATTTCTGATCAAACTAGTTTAGAAAACATTTTTGAAGTAATAAACTTCAATTTTGCTGTAACCCATTGTTTTTACTAAAGTGTACAATCCTGTAAATTGCAAAAAATATGGGCTTAGTACCAAACTGAATATTGTATATTATTATCTCTCAATCCATCTGGCAGTCCCCTCAGTAAGGGAGGATGGGGCACACTAGGGAGAGAAGATGTCCCGTAATTACTGAAGAGTTGTGAAGAATATCCATTATTGACTCAGTTTTTTGTCACTATGGCTTCACCCATAACAATATCCCCAAGACCCAATAGTATATGGGCTTTCGTACTGGCTGCGTGCATCCTCATAAATGCATCGTGTAGACCGGGAGCCCAGTTGGTCAACCTAGCTGAAAAGTGTACCAATTTTCTCCTATATGGTATCAATGTATGTATATCTGGTATCATCAGAATGTAAGTCTGCCGGGTTTCTGGTGGTGTTTTTGTAATACCTGAAGATGTACGGTACATTGCTGTGCGATTTTCATGTGGTACACTTTTGAGCTAATCTAGACTAGTTGGGTGGCATGGCATTTTGGGAGTGGAATACCACACCCACCACCAGAAACCCGCCGTCAATATAAACGACGTCACTGAAATAGCAGATATCAATCAAATGCTGTCGCCGCGTTCGTGGTCGCGGTCACGTTCGCGCTCAGTATAACTGTCCGTTTTCAGCTTGACAATTTCGATATATTTCAACTAGCTGAAGATTTGAGAAATTTTAAAAATTTAGAACAACATCTCAAATAAAACTCTCAAGAATTCCACGCAAAACAACAAAAAGCGTACACGCCACAGCCTATGACTTGACATTTTATCGTAAAGAAAAACAGACGGATATAAAACTTGGTAAATTAAATAATATTGTTTTCACCCACCCAACAGTGACACATGTTTTGTGTCTCCTGCCCTAACCTTTTCTATGACCTTTAATCGTAAAAAAAACCAGACGGATTTGAAATTTGGAAAATTAAATAATATTGTTTTCACCCACCCAAAATTAACACATGTTTTGTGTTTTGTGTTTTCTGTCCTAACCTTTACTATGATTAGAATAATATACATACCTGTTCTGTGTATAGCCTGACAGTTATTATATGACAGTATATATTATCATGGTCATTATTAACATCTGCTCGGTATAAATTACATTTCCACAGCAACGCAACAAGAAAATATAAATTTTAAATCAGATTACATTTATTCTCGTCCTCTCGTCTCTGTAAGTCATTCCACTAATCATATCATGATTCATGATGCTTGCGGGCATTTCTGGCGATATTCACGAACCATTTTTGATCTCAAAATTTCCAAAATCGAATATGGGTCCAGTACCTAAGGCCAAAAAAGAAATTACCTATATTTACGGTTAACCGACCGCCCATAATTTTTTTTGGGGGGAAATCGGAGCCAACGTTGGCCCAGTGAGTGAGACGTTGGCTCGCTAACCTGGACATCCCGTGCGTTGGCCGAGAAAGTACCACGGGTATTCCGGTGTGGATTCCCCTTGTCAGTAGTGCAGCACACGGTATGGCCCATGCTCGTTCTTCATTTCCCAGTCCGAACCGGACGTTAAACCCCATCTCATTTCATTTTGAGCCGAAATTGTCGACCATAAATTGTTTCCGCATTTCTCAAACCTTATAACTTGGTCTTAGTGTGATTTTCTGTAGACAAATTCCAACATTGAAATTTTGGTATTATTTTCAAGAACCCATATAAATAAGCTAGAAATGCTAGGGAATAAATAATACAAACTACACGACCGATCGACCAACCAACCCTATTTGGTGGGGCCAAGAAACGTTACACATGGTATTTTTGTCCTTATCCCTATCTGTAACGTCACCAGTTAATTTATCAAGCAAATGAATCTTGGAGGCGATGTTCCAGTAGAGATTTTTCTCTAGTAACATTCGCCAAGGACTTAGTGTGATATATGAACAAATGCATTGAATGAAAATTGACTCCCCTTTGCGAGAACAAGAGTTTCCTTTCAAATGTTTTGGCGGTTAAGTGAGGGGATGCGATGACCAAATATCTAGGTGGTGGCATGAGAGAGTCTGGGGTGAACTCCAAACATGTAAGGAATTTTGATGGCCGAATGGTTAGCGAGTGCGCGTTGTATTATAAGGTCTGTCATTAAGTCCGTATGGGCGTGATGTCGATTCCCCGGTTGTACGTGACGAGGAGTAGGGTCAAATGTCCAACCTCGTGGCTTTTCTCCATTTTCCTGCCACTGCCAAAGACCCCTACGCACAAGCGAATTATTGAAATAAAATTGAACCATATGTTAATCCCGAAATGACCTAGTTTGTGTCGAGCGGACATTAAGCCCCATTTCTCTCTTTCTCTTCAATCATGTATTTCATACCTGAACAAAACCTTGTAAATATTTCTCCGCATAAATGCAGGAACGTAAGAATACATTACCCGGACTGGGGTGACATTGCATGTTTGTCGTTTTTTATTCAAGTTAACAAAACAAATTGAATCTAGAAATTAACTGATGGGTTTTTTTTGGCCATTTTATATCCTCAAGCGGTATTATTATTAAATGAATGAGTTTAATTGTTGTTATTTGATATCTTAATTGCCCTGTTTACAAAGTCTACGTCAAGTGATACACGATCCTTATTTTGATGCTGGATACAGATTGTGTTTTAGAGCAAGTTAAACTGAACATATGCGGTTAGAGTTGTTTGTGGGCATCGATTTCTTTAGAACTCATGGAGGGATACAAGGCACCAACAATTGCTTTGATACAGCTTTTTTCCCAACGCAATGGAAGACTCGGTGACGGAGGGCCTGACAAGGACAGCTATCTAGTGATTCCGATGAGACGAAAAACCGAGGTCCCATGTACACATTCGCGTGCACGAAAAATATCCCTTGACAGTTGGAATTCGATATAAGAGTAGGCCGTAGTGCCGCTGTCCGGGCAAAATTTCCCTCATGGCACACTGTATGGCGTATGCCCGTCTTCATTAGCCCAGTTCGGAGCAAACAGTGGAACGTTAAACCCCATTTCATTTCATTTGCAACGGAAGCCACGGTGGCTTGGTAAGAATGGCGCTGGTTGACTGACCAGGAGTTCCAGGCATCGATCCCGGTGTTGGACGAAATAGCGTCACGGGATTTTAATTTAACTAAAAACTAGATAATCGAGACTTTGTTTATTATTCAAACACGATTGCTTGTTTATAATATAATTTAATGAAAAACTAGATAATTGAGACTTTGTTTATTATCGTAACAACGGTAGAAATGACAACCGATTCTACATTGTTCTTCAAACGACAGTAACTCTGCTTATAGTGAAGTAATTTGAATGAAATTTTCAACATATTCCCCTTTCATTATCTATATTTATACGCCCACACTTTCATGTGGACGTATATTGTCGTCGCCCTTGTCCGTCCGGACATCAGTCTACAATTTGTTTGTGGACATTATACAGGTCACAATATATATAATATAGGTTTATATCCCAAAGATCTCGGTTTCTTTCGATATTAGATAATGGTCCCTGATTCTACGAAAAATCGAGTTTTCTGCTTGTAGTCGCTATAGATATCACAATTTTTATCCGATTTGAAAAAAAAAAACCCAAAACGTTGGGATATATAACCGTTACACCCACAGGCATTTGAAGGGATTAAAATAAAACTTCTTACTACTGTTTGACTATATATTACAGTATCAACAAGGTTTATTAGCTGCCATTTTGTTTTGACTTGTTGACGACATTTCGTCTGCTATCATCTCACAATAATCATTCGGCGTCGTGTCGTTGATTCTCGTTTAGATGCATCATTTATTGGCGCAGTGACTGAAATTAAGCGCTATGGAATATAATACCTTGTTATCGATCTGTAGCTGTCGTTTTTTTCGGGGTGGTGGCGGCCATACAAGGGCTGCCCCGAGCTGAAATTAAGGACAGCTCCAGTCGGGGAGTGACATAGGCTTGGTGGCGTTACACTACCGCTTCCGATTCTTGTTATTGTGTTTTGAAAGACGGCGAGATTTTGTTTCTGCAGTTTCAAAATTTAGAAAATCGCATACGCTAATCGTAGGCTACAATAAACAATCACAGATCCTACTATTTCGATACGTTTTTTTATAGTTCAACATTTCGTTTTACTTGTCTTCACAACACTAGGATCTGGAAGAATTGGTATATAACAGGCGTTCTAGTTGATGTGAGGAATCAGCCAATAAAATGGTCTGTTACTGAGAGCTCTTGGCGTGCTCTGCACTGAATGGTAGGTAAACCCCTAGAAACGTCAACACTGATTGATTAATCAATGTCTGGCGTCATAGGGTCCAAAGCCGCTCGTATGACCTCTGACGCGACCCCCAGTACAACTGGTCAGATCTTCATGCAGTGTAGTGTAGGCCATCGAAAGTATAAAAAAAACAACGAAACGAAATATCAGATTGGTACAATAAAGAACAAATCAGAGTTTCCATTAAAGCGGTTTTAAACCTGGTGTGATTTCGTTGTAGGGAGTTGATTGGAACATTACGACAATGGTTGTTTTTAACATGATATGAAGTGAAATGGGGTTTAACGTCCTACTGTTCTGCTCCGACTCGACTAATGAAGACGGGATTGTTCATGATTTCTTTCCGTCGTATTTTTCTACATCATCCAAAATCTTGAAATATGAAGATTGTAAAGATTGAAACTAAAATAAGGACATTACCATACCCCGCAGGTTTTATCCGCAAAACAAAGTTGTTAAAGATAATTACAACATACCATAATAATTTTACACAAAAAATCAGATGTCGTCTTCATAAATTCCATTTTGATTTCAGTTGATTATATTTTATTGATCTAGATTTAGATTTGTTTCATAAAAAGGGTACGTAGTAGTTTGCGTTTCTGTAAAATCAACCAGGGTTTGTTTTTTAGCTTCTAATATTGAATAACCAGTCTTACAGCCATACAAACTCTTCGAGTTGGAATAATCATGTAATTGATGTGAAGAAGAGCCTGAATTCCCAGTCTGTTTATTTGTCGAAGTTAGTCTAGGTTTAGCGGCTAAGAAAATGTTGG